ATGTTTATTAAACAGTTGTTAATGTTCTTTTTATTTTGGCAAACTTGACTTTTTCATTTGTGATTACATTGATTTGGGTCTTTTTTCTCCTTTTTTTTTGTTAGATTTTTAAGGGTTTTTCTGTTGTTTTTATTCTTTCAAAGAACCAAATCTTCAATTCATTAATTCTTTGTAAGTATTTTAATTTCACTTTTATTGATTTTTGCTCTGATCCTTATAACTTCCTTGTAGTAGCTTTTCATTTAGATTGTTCTTTTTTTTTAGGACCTTGAGGTACATCATTACATTGTTGATATGTGCTTTCTCTGTTTTTGTATGTGGGCATTCATAGCTATAAACTTTGCTGTTAGGAATGCTTCATTGTGTCCCATAATTTATGTGTGTTGTACATGAATTGTCATTTAGTTCTAAAAGCTGTCTTCTCTGTAAGCAATTGTTTATTTAAGAGAATTTATTTAAATGATTGTGTAGTTTCCATAATTTCTGTGTTTTCTATTTGTATTGATTTCTAATTTCATTGCAGTATGATCTGGTAATATGTGTGGAGTAATTTCAATTCTTTTACATTTATTTAAGCATATTTTATTTTCTACTATGTGGTGTATTTTGGAGAAGATACATATACTGCTGAAAATAATGTATATTCTATTCTTGTTGGGTAGAATGCTCTGTAGATATTTATTAAGTCCATTTATTTGGTGGTTTTGTTTAACTCTGATATTTCTTTGTCAATTTTTTATCTATCTATTTAAATTCCCATACTATAGTTGTATTTGTTTACCCTGGCCTTTCATGTCTAGTAGTACTTGTTTTATAAAATTGGGAAGCCATTGTTTGGTGTATGTATGTTAATTGTTATCTCTTCCTGTTGGATTGTTCCCTTCACTAATATGTAGTGACCTTTGCCTTTTTTGTTTAGTTTTGACTTGAATATATGTAGCTATGCTTGCTTTCTCTTGGGTTTCTCTTGGGTTCCACTCTTTGACTTTTAGTTTGAGTTTATTTTTGGGTTAAATGTGGTTGTTTTTTTTTTAATGCAGCATATTTTTGGATTTTATCTCCAAGAAATAATATATACCCATGCTGCCAGTTTGTGTTTGTTAATTGGGGAATTGAGGCCATTCACCTTGATAGGTATTGACTTGTTGCCATCATTGCCTTACTACCCTGTTTCTGATTCCCTTTCTTTCCCATCTACTTAGCTACTTACTCTGTCTGGTATATTTATTGTACTAGACCTTTTTCGTCGTTAGATGCCCGTCAGAATTTTTTGAAATGCTGGTTTACTGGTTATGAATTTCTATAGATGCTCTTTATCATGCCTTTAGCTTATTTTTCCATCAATTTTGAAAGATTCCTATGCAGGCTATATCAGCCCAAGTTGGAAATTGTTTCCTTTTAGGGCTTCATACACTTTACTCCAAGCTCACCTGACTTTTAAGGTTTATGTTGAGAAATCTACTTACTTCTAAAGTTGTTAGCACTACATATGAGATTTTTGCTACTCTCTAAATGCTTTTAAAGTTTTGTTTTTGTATTGGACTTCTGGAATTTGCACTGTAATATGTGTTAGAGAGGTTTCTTTCTGTTGTTGGCAGATGGGATTCTATATGCCTTACTTTTTCTGTATTGTAAATTTTTCCCTCTAATTTGTAGTTTTCTGCTCTTATTTCAAAACAAGTTTTTATGTTGTTTGTGCTATCTTCTGATTTTTTAGTAATTTCAGTTAATCTTAGTCTTTTTGCATCATATATGAGCTATTGGATCCATTTTTGATGACCTCTTGTTGATTTTAATGTGCCTCTTATTAATTAGTCAGAAATAAAAACCCTGAACTTTAGTTCTGACACTCCATCCTCACATTTGTCACTTCTGTGATTGCTTCAATTTCTGCTTGGACCTTTTAATGGAATCTAATTCTTTTCAATGTTGGTCATTCATGTTCAGTTTAGCTCTGCTAGCTTTTTATTTGTGTCTTTTGTAGACTCTTTGATCATTTTGTTTATTTGGCTCAATATCTACTTATACAGTAAGTCCTTGACTTAGGCACATTCTAGTTGTGAACATTCATAGACATGCACAGACCTCACATTACAAGCATTCATAAATGCCAAAAAATTGCAGAAGTAGCTCATGTGTATCAGACATTGTCACAGTTGTGCTGCTGTGCTCTTAATGTAAAAGAAAAATAGTTTATTTTCAGCATTTGTATGTGTGTGTTTGATTTTCTTAATGCTTCACATTGTATATTTGTGTCCAAAGTGTCAGACTCACTTTGTTGAACTTACAAATGAATCCAACTTATGAAGGTTCTCTCATTCATAAGATGGGTACTTACTGTATCTTCTCTGAACTTGCCAAATACCTTTGTAATTTGTTCTGTACTCTGTCCTGGTATCAATTCAAATAATTTAGGTGTGTGACTTTTTGCTTCATCTCTTTAGTGCCCCATTGATCAGCTTTGGGGACTTTGGGATTTTTAAGAGGCATTTTATTGCTTTGTCTTCTTATGTTTCTATTTTTTTTTTTTTCTCATTTTGTTTTGAGCTTTTCGGGTTGTTGTAATGGAAAGCATTGTCTCTAGTACAGAGACTTCTGCAATTGTTTGGACTATTTTCATTGTGTTACATAAGTTCTGGTATGTTGTACATAAATTGTCATTTAGTTCTAGAAACTGTCTTATTTCTTTCTTGATTTCAGTGTTGTTTTCTGGGTGTGGCTAATAGGCCTTTGTCTCTCTACCAGGATCCAGCTACCTCCATTTACCTGGGATGGGAAGTTGCAGTGTATCTCTTCTAGTACCAGGAATGGGCCACCATATTTTTAATCACTACAAGGTAGTCCAGATATTGGCACCCCAAGACACCCAGTTAATAGCTATAGCTGTGACACCTTGACTATAGTAATAAAATCAGAACCAATTATAGTACCAATTAAAGACTGAATATTGAAAAACTTTAAAGATAGTAATGTACCACCCTTACCTATAGAAAAGACATGATAATTACAATATGAACATTAGAACAAACCAAATATAAATCTACTATTGACCTACACTAAATATCTACTAAGTATAATTTTACCTCTACTAAAATTAGCATAAATATTCAACAATAGCTGTGTAGAGTTTTTAAAAAATAGTGTAGTTAACTAGCTGTCTTGAGAGTCATAGGCTAAATAGTGATACTAATGAAAGTATAAAAAGTTTTTAAAAAAATTCTTAATAAGTGTATAGAAAATAAAGAACTCCTTAATTCAATAAAGAACATATTATTTCTGGAGGTAAAATATTGAAAGCTTCCCCATGTAGTTATCCCTATTTTTCTCCTTTGTGACAGTATACTAGAAACACTAGCATGCAGGAGGTAACTGAAAAGTTTATACAACAAAATCTTGAGGAATACCAAGTTAAAGAGGACAAAAAAGAAAAAAATAAAACCCACAAAAGCAAAACAAACAACCCCCCCTCAAAAAAAAAAAAAAAAAACCATGATAAGGAGGAGCCAAAGATAAGAAGAAAATGGAGAGCTTATGAGTATTTGAAACCAGTTAAAGAAATTAAGAGCAATGAAGTAGCCAGCTGTGTTGCATGTTACTGGCAAATTATGATAGATAAAATGATGAGATTATCGCAATAATGAGATGTGTCAATACGTAAGGTAAAATTGTTTTCAATCACATGGTATATTAGGACTAAAAATAGCCAAAATGTGAATTTGAACAGAAGAAAAGATGAAGGCAAGTGTAGAGTGAAAGTTCTTCTGATTCGTTTATCTTGAGGATGTGGGTGCTGTTAAGATGAAAGAGATGTGAACTTGGAACTGAGGCAAGAGAAACGTTACGGCTACCCAAAAGTTAATCTGAGATTTCTGACAGTGTAGAAGGGGATTAACTTTTGAAATGGGGAGGGATCATTTTTTTCTGCCTGTAACAGGAGTGAAGGGGAATAACACATAGTAGAAGCCAAAGTTTTTGTGGTTTTGTTTCTAACAATAAGAATTCTAATGAGTCGCCCGTAATTTTTCTTTGAACTAAAATAGCATATCACATACCTGAATAAGGATATTTGTGGAGAATGGAGAAAATTTGAAATAGCTGCAGGAAACCGCAGAGAATACTATACTTCTAAATGAGCAGAAAGTAGGACTAGTAATCATTCCTGAAAGCCCAGCTGAGATGAATGGTCTTTTATAGTAACACCAGTCGGCAAACTGTAAGATTTGCTCCATCTGCATAGAAAAGGCTTTGGGCAAGTATTTCATGTGGACAAGCCTTAATAATATCTTTTTTTAAAAATAAACTTATTGGAACACAAATGTGTTCACTAGTTGTCTATCGTTTCCTTGATGGCCAACACCAAAAATAAATATTTGGTCCTCAACACCTAACATTTATACTGTTTTACCCTTTATGCAAAATGTTTGCCACCGCTATGTAGATCAACCTGGAAACAGCTGCAGAAAAGGCAGACATTTGTAGAGTCATTCAGGGTCAAAGTCTTCCTTGACAAATGGAAAGATGATAGTAAAGAAAGATACTGGCCTGTTGAAGTTGGAACTCAGGCTGGAGAGGAGATGTGGACAGAAGGAACTGATGGGGGTTTTGTGGCTTATTCCATTGCCTTGAGAGTAATTAGGGAGAGAAGTCAAAGTGGTAAGACTGTGGTTGTCATAGATAACTGAAATGCTTGATTTCAAAGCTAGGAACAGTTCTAGGTGAGGACACACTGTCCTACGCACTGTAGCTGAGGCTGTGGGGAACCGAGCAGCAGGCAGATTGCTGGCTACATCACCCATGTTGGTGCTGAAATTCCTTAGTGTGAAGTAGAGCGAAGACAAGTGAGCCAGGTAGTTGTCTTTTCTTAATTTCTAGGATGTATTATGTTTAAGTCAAATAAACTGCTAGCATTCGATTATGAAATTGCTAAAAATGTGGGAAAAAACTTTATTGCTTTGCTTTTTTCATTAGAACTTAACACTTTAAATGTTTTTGATTCTCAGACTGCAGATGTATTTAATTTTGAGGAAACTGTTTATAGTCATCACATGTCTCCAGTTGCCACCAAGCACTGTTTGGTAGCAGGTTTGTACGTGTATTCCTACATCTTTTAACATATCAAAAGCTTTCTCTTTTTTCATATCTATTTACCTGAGATGATCAGAATTTTTTAAATATAAATATCATTCATTATTAACATTCAGCTTAATAGATGTTTGCAAGTTAGGTGTTATGCTAATGGTTAAAATTAAAAGATGAAAAAAACTTCTGTTCCCTAAGGAACAGATTTACTTTTAAATCACTAAATTTCCATACTTTTCTCATAACAAAATTTGGCAACTTTTCCTATTTGATGCAGTAAAACAAGGAAGTTATTTCTAAGACTATGATTGAAATGAAACAGCCACTTACATAAAATTATTTGCAACAAAAATATTTTCATAGGAGGAAAAAACAGTATATTTCTACTATCAAGTGTCTGGTCACTGTGATTGCATTGTTTTTGTGACTGTGTGTGAATTTCTTCACCCCTCAATATCAGGCAGCTGCTTTATCTGTTAAGAATTAAGTCACTAACTTGTCTTTGAAGTCCATTCAGTCTTGTCCAATGTTTTTCTGAATTTATTACTGAACTTAAAACTGGAAATATATCATTAACTTGGAAAACTAAAGTATTAAAATTAAATGATTTGATGTGGTAAAATGACATAGATATATAGGACATTTAACTTCCCATATAAATTCTCTGGTTTTGATATCCTAGTTCCGTTACCTGACATGATCATGAGGGAATCCTAGGGGAGAGGTGTAAGGCCTCTCTCTACTGGCTTTGTAACATCTTGCAAATCTCTAACTAGTTTAAATAAAAAATAATGTAGCAGTAGAGGTCTCTTACTACTGAAGTGCAGTTAGAATTAAAATAATTTTTCTAATTATAAGCATTAAAAATTATTTGAAGTATATTTTTGTCATATACTTTTCTATTTCTGAATGCATGCTATGAAATGTTATGATTTCTAGGTGATGTATTGTTTCCTTTTGCTGAGGACTTATTGTAAAATTATATTCAATCTTTTTCTGTTTGTTTTTATAGTCGGTACCAGAGGACCCAAGGTACAACTGTGTGATTTAAAGTCTGGATCGTGTTCTCATATTCTGCAGGGTATTTTTTTTTTTTTAATTTAAAAGAACTGTTACTTTGAATAAACTAGTCAATAGAAAAAATCATTACTAACAATGAATTCTTTGTAAGAGACATGACTGATATATTTTATACAAGTTGTTAAAAATCAACAGGGACGGGAGGGGGGGGGAGGGAGTGGGGGGTGGGTGGGCATATAGCTCAGTGGCATGGTGCCTGTCTTGCAAGCATGAGGTTGTGAGTTCAGTTGCTGTTGCCAAGAAGAAAAATCAACATGGAAAGGAAGATTCTTCTGTATATTATTCTTACAAAATTGGATCAGTGAGGAGACATTTGTATGAACAGTGGCTGTAGGGGAACCTCAAAGGAAACGAAAAATAGAAGATCAAACTCAGAACCGTGTATTATCTCAAAATTTAAAGGAATAACTTACTACAGAAACTTATGCCAGTACATTTGTCCCATGAACACTGTCTAATATTGTTCTGATATTTTTAATATTCAAGTGAATTTTTGCTTGGTATAAATATTTTAGAAAAACTGTTGAGATAGTTTGGAAAACATATGTTAATTTGAGTTGTTTTTGCTACCTCTTATATTAAATAATTTAATTCTGAACAATAAAAAGGTTGCATATAATTCAGGACTATACATTATCATTCATCTCTATGAAATATAAGTTATCAAGAAAATTTAATGAGAAAGGTACTACTTTTAATATTGTTATGAATTTCTATTGATATAACCTACACAGGTGAACATTCCTGATTTGAATAGTTCAGTTAGGTAAAGCTGAATTAAGATACTGAAATCATTTCTCCTATGAAATTGCCACTGTGCTTTTTAGAAAAAGAAATTACACAAATGCTGCAATCAATAATTCTTTTCTGTTATAACCTTACGAGAAATTGGATAATATTTAAATTTCTTTAAACTGTTTATGTATTATTCCAATGGGTCTGTATTACAGAAATAAATAAACTTGAGTTACATGGATTGGCTTACCCAGACTAATATCTAAATTTTTTCAAAAAGCACTCCCTTGACCTTTCCAATCAAAACCAATCCTCTTATATTGTGTTAAAAATATCCTGACAGAATTCACATTGGCATTTGAACATGAAGTATTATAAACATGAAATAATGATGAACATATATAATCACTTTATTCAGAATTAGCAGTTGTTTTTAGAACTTTGCCCCCCCCCCTTTTTTAAAGTGTTTTATTGAGAATTTTCACGCAGTTGTATTTGCAGGTCACAGACAGGAAATATTGGCAGTTTCCTGGTCACCACGATATGACTATATCTTGGCAACTGCAAGGTAAAATGTAGCTTATTTGGTTTTTAAGTTAACACTAACTAGTAACTAACTAATTAAAGAGATTATATTACATAGTACATATTTTATCATATTTAATGATTAATTAGTTGCTAAAAAAAGAAATGGTGTTAGATTTTCATTCATTTCACCCGAAGAAATCTTCCTTTACATTAAAATCCCAGGGTCAGGGATTTAGCTCAGTGGCATAAGTGCCTGCCTGCCAAGTGTGAGGTTGTGAGTTCGATCTCTTCTTCAAAAAAAAAAAAAAAAAAAAATCCCAACTACCTAACTACCTATCTTAAAGGTTTTCACCTTTAGATCACTGGAAAACATGAGACTATACAAATCAACTAGGACTACTAGTAAATCATTTTGTCATTTCTTTTTTTGAATATAATAGTACACCACTGTGGTAATTTTCAAAAAGTTATTTTCTATTCATTTTCTTTAACCCAGAGTTATTTTGAGTCCGATTGAAAATATCCATCAGTTGTCCATTACTGATTTCAATTTATTGATATCTACTGGCTGCCTACCCTGTGCCAACCTTTGTACTAGGTCCACAGAGGTATTCTAACTTTGGGAACCTACCAGTTTATTCAGGGGAAATCAATGATTAGAGGGCATCCTGAAAAAATACATTTTTGGTAGTTGTAATATAGAAAAAGAAGTATCAAAATTTTGAGGGACTGTTTGTTGGGGAGAAGCATATTACATAACTTATTTCAAGAGAGGAAAGTAGCAGAAGAGAAAAATAGGTGAAGATGAGAAGAAGAAGAAGAAGGAATGACGGATGCAGCATCCACTAAGTAGGCAGTAAGGGAGAGGATTTAGGTCTAGACACAAGGTTGACACTGGGGATGACACAGGGTGGCACCGCAAGAGTAAACAGAAGGAGAAAAGGCTGGGGTTGGATACTGGTAAGGTTTTTGGTTTGACAGAGAAGTTCAAGAAATGCAATCTGAATGACCTCAATTGTTTTTTAATACTGTCTGTGACTCAATACTGTCTGTGAAAGTGAAGATGCAATTTTGAGGGAAGCTAGTAAATACCTGGATTAACAAGTTTGAGTAAGAGTGGGAACTGGCTAGGAACACCTAGGATTGTTGAGTATTTGTGCTCAATTTAATATGTAAACCTGAACTCTGTTGTGCTACAGAAAGCAAAATATTAGATTACATAGATATAACAATTTTCAATATAGAAGGGAAAGTATATACCTATACCTGAAAATTATTGAAGTCATGATTATAAGGAAAGAAAGAAATCACAAAAAGGCCTATAGGAGGAATCAAAGACTCCGTAAGACACATTATGCTTGTCAGAATAAAAAAAATGTAAAACTAGAAATAGGAAGTGATAACCCAAGATTATGGTATAATTGTGTGTGTGTGTGTGTGTGTGTGTGTGTGTGTGTGTGTGTGTGTGTGCTGGAGACTGAATCCAGGGCCTCATACATGTTTACAATGCACTCTACCACTGAGCTGCATCTCAACCCTTATTGTGATACAAGCGTTTTAATAAAGCTCTAGACTATTTTTAAGGTGCCAGTCCTCTTCACAGGTTATTTGCCCAAATGCTTCTGTCAATAGTTTTCAGACTGTGATGTTGAAATTCATGATTTCTGACATCAAGGTCCAGCATATAGCAACATGAAGGTTGACCAGAGAGATATGAAGCTGAGGAGCAAGGTGCTCATTGTGGGACCATGCTTGGGTGGGTTTGTATTCTAGTTTGTGCTTCACTATTTTTCCCCAGATCAGAGGGGAGCTGAGAGTCAGTTTTTGAAATTCTTAAAGGAATTTGAATCAGGACCAACTTAAACTCAGTAAACAGTACTAATAGTTGGATATGTGCAAATCTAAGCTGTTTCAGAAGAGACTTAAGTTCTCACTCCTCTCATTGTAGCCTTTCCTTAGCCAAGAACAAAGAAAACTAAGAATGGGACATACGGACATACTAGCTTTCTGCTGACTATTCCCATTTGCTGGCTTTGATCATGATCTGTGAAAAGAACCACAATTACAGCAATGTATAAGCTCTGTGTGTGTAAAGAGAAAGTAATATAATGCTGTCTTGTTATATTAGCATGAAAAACCCGATGAGTGAATATTGTACATGTCTTTGTAAAGACATGGTGCTATGACTTGAATTGATTAGGAGCACATAGAATCTCCGGATATTTCTTTCTTTAGGAGTGGCTTAGAAATTGATGTGTGATCATGGATATATTTCTTTTTACTTAAAAGAAAATTGACATCATTGTATAATTTCTAAGAAACATCAAATATAGTTCTCATTTAACTGGCAGACAATGGCTTGAGCACAAGGAACAAAATTAAAATATATTGTGTTCCAAATATATTGTACCTTTCTTGGATTTTTATATAAAAAGTTAAAATACCAAGGTCATGCCAAATATTTTTGTTTTAATTTGGCAGTGCTGATGACTGATCTCTGGGCCTTGTGTATAATAAGTAGGTACTTTGCCACTGAGGTATATACCCAACCAAAAATATTCTTAATGTGAAATTAGTTAACTGACTGTGTAGGCAGCATTTGAGAAATAACAATAGAAATGATAAAATAACAAACTTGCTAGAACCTTGGTGGGATAGATGCTAATCTAAATAAAAACAACATAAAGAGTAATACAAGTTTGTCCTTATGATCTTAAAAAGAGAGGGTTATCTATCTCTGCTGTTTTTTTACATTTTTATGTGATTTTTGAGTGTTGAATATTTGCTGAAAAGGCAAAAGAACAACAACCTCACTGTAAAACTACATTGGTGCTAATGAAATGTAAACTCTGAGCTGCAATGCTGGTAGAGTGGGTGTGGGGAACAGTTGCTACTCTAAGCGACATATGGTCACTGTAACATTTATTTCCTCTCAGTGCTGACAGTAGAGTAAAATTATGGGATGTGAGGAGAGCATCAGGATGTTTGATTACTCTTGATCAACATAATGGAGAAAAGTCACAAGCTGCTGAATCAGGTGATTAGATTATATAAATCCTAACAATGACAATGATAATATTTTTATGTTGAGGTTTTTTAATTGAAGCTAAACAATACATATATACTGACAAATTATAAACATTAGGAACCTTTGAAGACATGTTTTAGTAACTGAGACAAAATAATTGACCCGCACCACTAAAAGCAGGAGAAGTTTATTTTGCTCACATTTTCAGTGGCTCCAGTTCATAACTAGGCAGCTACAGTGCAGAAATGACATGGCAGAAAGCTGTTCACCACATAGAAGCCAGGAAGCACAGTGACAAGGAAAGAACCCCTAGATGAGAACATGCCCTCTCAAGTCACACCCCAGTGATGTGCCCTTTCCAGCCACATTCCACCTCTGAACATGAGACTTGTGGAGAATGTTTTAGATTTGAACCATAACAAGCATACACCATGTATCCCTAGAAAGGGTGCTTAAGTTAAATTCTGATGTGTTTCTCCAAGATACAAGTAGCAGATGGAAGAAGGAGAAAGGGAGGGTGAAGGCGATGTAGAAAGTGTATGATACGTTATGTATAATGAACGTAATCATTATATGTTGCAAACGTACTTTAAAAAAAAGCAAGTATGACAGTTTTCTTCTGCCTCCACATTTTCAAATAGAAACTTTTCCGGATTAACCGGCTTACTGATTTTTTTTTTCTCCCAATGAGGTCAACCATCCAAATTCAAGGCCATTTTGGAAGCCCCAATAAATTGCAGAATTTGTTAATAATATAGCCAGTGTGCCAACATAAAAATGGCAATTCATGTGTCGTCTGCAATCCCTGTAACATTATGCCTGAATTGCATTTTATAATAGAATTTAATTCCTGAGTAGAAAATTTCACTTAGGCTTAATTGTGGACTAGAAATATATTAGGATTAGCTACATAAAACATGATCATTTTTTATATTCTTTTTAAATTAATCAGGCTATTAGAAATTGTGCTTTTTCAAGCTCATTTTGAAAGGGATATAAATTTTGATGGAGGCTGAAACTGTTATCCTTTTTCTGCTAAAATTATTAAAATAATACTATTGGTTTTAATGGCTTATATAGAAATGAAAGTAATGTAAAAGAGATGAAAGGTGTTTAATTTATAGTGTTAGTATTATGCACTTACTTGCATTTGACAGTACAGCGTATTTGCTGGAAAATTTATTTGACAAGAATTTTTCCAGTTGGTTTTCCTTTATTTTTATGATTCTTATTTATATAATTTCTCAAATTCAAATAATCTGAAAGTTTGGTTAATTTAAAATAAAACCAATTTATAGCTTTACATAACTTACCAAGTTCCCTTTAATATATTTAAATTAAGATATCATTAAGTATTAAATAATTGCTGAATATAGGAAAAGATAAACTAAACTGTATTTTTCTTTGCAGCAAGCACTGCTCATAATGGGAAAGTGAACGGTTTATGTTTTACAAGTGATGGGCTTCACCTCCTAACTATTGGTACAGATAATCGGATGAGACTCTGGAATAGTTCCAATGGGGAAAATACACTAGTAAGAGATTTTTAAGTACTTTTTTGGGTATACAATAAAAAATGGATCTGTAATACGTTTGTGTATGATTTAACTCCATTTATTGCTTTTAAATCATAGCTATTTTCTTGAAAATACCTGTTTTCTCACTATGTCTGAACAAGCCACCCCTTCCACATTCTTTACCCTTAATAATGAATCACTTTACTGTGGCACGATCCTAATGGTAGTATTACATAAAGCTCAGGTATTTGGGGAAAGAACAAAATATTAAGAACTACTGTTATAAATAAGTTACAAAGAGTTTAATTCTATAGTATAAATGACATAAACAAAACCAATTATACTAGCAAAATATAGCACTTTATTGAATACTGGAGTAAATATGTCTTGAAAGTGCTAGCTTTTGTTTTTATTTATTTGGAATGCTGGGGAATGAACCTAGGACCTCAAACATTCTAAGCAAAAACTGTATCACTGAGTTACACCTCAAAGCCTAAAGTGCTAGATTCCCCCAGTGACAGATAATTTCTAGTCACTTCTAGTGCTCCCAGGTATACCTGTGGTTCAGTAACTTTCTGAATAAGCTAACAAAAGATTATGATTTGATGATAGCAGCTACTATTTATTGACAGTTTACGTGCAGATACAATACTGATAATAATTAGCATGTAATATATGTGCTAGAGCATGTATTGTCTTACATAATCATCACATCAATACTATGATGGTAGTTTCTGTTATAATTCTCATTTTACACAGGAGGAAAATGAGACATAAAATGCTTATGTAGCTTGCCTACATTTACAGAACTAGAAAGCAACAGAGTTTGACTCTAGTTTCCATGTTTACCATAGCACTGATTCTACCCAGACCTCCTTAAAGCATGTATGTAGGTATTACTATTGATCATATTCCCTCGTCTATTCATCCTTTCTCATTAATAACTCTTTAAAATATCCTGGATCTCATCTTGATTATTAATACTAACAGGATATTGTTTATGTTCTTGTTATTACAGAGTTTTATAAGCCTGCATACTCTTTTCTCTGTTAGGGATGCAATCCGTGGACTCACACCTCTTAAACAAATGCTCCACCACTGAGCTGTGCCCTCAGCCCCACCCCATTCTCATCATTTTGAGACCACTCTCCATTATATCTCAGATTACACACTCAGGCACTGTGGTTGACAACTTAAGAGTATTTCATTCATTTTATTGTATGAGGTCCCTGAGGGGTCCTATTGTCCATCCCCCTCATTTTTTAAAGTAAATATATATTGAGCACTTACTTATTTTCCAGGCCCATAGCCCTGGACAAAACACAGAAAAAGCTTATCCTCAGCAATCCTCTCTTCTAAGGAGAGGATGAAAAACATCAATTAATCCGCAGATGGGTAGATGGATACATTATGTCAGATAGGATGAGCACTGTGAAGATAAGCAAAGCAACAAAAGCATAGAAAACACTGGGAAGTTGGAGCTGCGGTATTTCATGGGATGCTTAGGGTAAGCCTCGCTGAGAAAGTGACATTGTCCTAAAAAAAAAAAATGAGGGAATGACCCATCAATTATTGGTGGGGCATCTCCATAGAGGAAGGGGAAAGTACCCCGAAGTGGTACCATGCATGGGACGCCCAAGTAGCAGTGGGAGGCCCTTGCGTTGGGATGTAGAGAGTGACAGGATGAAAGGCACGGAAAGAGCAGGCTGCTGAGCCAGAGGCCCTGTGCAGCTCTGTGTAAGGGCTTAAGCTTTCCTCTGGGTCACACGGAAAACCACTTTACGCTGAGTGAAAAAGCAGCCTGGCATGTTTCAAGGCTTAATGATAAATATAAATAATATAAATAGTAAATTGTTAACAGGATTTTTTTTTCTTAAAGGGAAAGCATACCTTAAAGGGAAAATACCCTAGGGATTTTTGGCAATGAGTCCATATCTGTAATAGTGTATTTACAATGGAGAATACATTTTTCAACCAGCTAAATCAACTAAAAGTCAATCATGCAAAGATGACTGGTAGTCTAAAAACTACCTATAAAAGGCACTTCCTTAGAGTGAAGGCTGGGGAAGTGCCTGGAAAGGGTTTCTCTAAAAGGATGCATGCTATCTTTTAAGTTTTCTTAGAATTGTCAGAATTATAAACATTGTAGTACTACCAAATTTCAGTTCTCCTGTAGTAACTGAGGATTTGGGGCAATTTTTAGATGTTTTGTGATGTCATTTCTAAGTTGGGAATATTATCCATTAATATTGATTAATTACTGGTTTTAATTATGAGCAAGAAGTAAACATGTCCATTTCTTTAATTCTAAACTTCTCAGTCTCCACATACAGGTTGCCGGGAATTTTTTAAAAACAAAAGTTATTCTTCAGTAATATTGGGATGGGGCTTGAAAGTCTGCTTGTCTAACTGCTCTGGCAATGCTCATCACTGAGCTTGTAGACTACCCTTGTTATGTACAAGAGCCGAATTTTAATGTTTAATATTACATAATTGTTTACATAAATTTGAAATTATAGTACACACTCAATGTTCTGTGCTTTTTTATTACTTAGCCTTTATCCTTACTTCCTCCACAGTTTTCATAACATGATTTCTGCAAAACAAAAAAGTTAATGTTAGGAATTCAGATCCATTCTCAGTTGTTTCCCATTTTAGATAATTCCTCTGGGCATATGACTTTATGCTGTTCAGTTCTATCCTGAAGATTAGCTTCATGAACAATTACTCCATCAAGGGATAATAATACCTGTGTTGTTCAATGCATAGTTTTGCAAGATTAAAACAGTTCTAAAGATAGACAGTGGTAATGATTACTCAACAGTATAATGAACCTAATGCTACTGAACTGTACTCCTAAAAATGGTTAAGATTGAAAATTTTTGTTTTTATAACAATTAAATTTTTAATTCAAAGAGTAAGAGGTTTTTTACAATATACTCAGTCCCCCAAGAGAATACCTGCATTTTGTTATATAATAAACTGTTTACCCTTTTTAGGAGAAAGGACTAAAATATAATACTACACACATTGTTGCCTCACTTGTGCCTGTATTTAATGTCTTATGTCTCCTAAAACTTTGTCAAACCAGGAACTGAGAATGTAGTTCAATGATAGAACACTTAACGTAGCTTCAATTCCCAGCACCTCTAAAGGACATTTTTTTTTTTTTTGCCAAACAGTCTAAACTTATTAAGATTGCTTTAATTTACATTTTTATTTAAGATTGACATATGAACATCTGTTCTTGTGTTTTGTCCACTGTTTGTATTTTCTCTGTGAAATGTATATTCCTATCTTTGGACCTTGTTTCTGTTCAAATATTGAACATTTCATTTAAATTTAATGCCCTTTCTATAGAAGAGTAATATTTGAATGATTTCTTTCAGTCTTGGTCTTTTTCATTTAGATTTAAGAAATGAGTAACTATGGTTTTATCCCATAGGTAAATTATGGAAAAGTTTGTAACAACAGTAAAAAAGGATTGAAATTCACTGTTTCCTGTGGCTGCAGTTCAGAATTTGTTTTTGTGCCATATGGTAGCACCATTGCTGTTTATACAGTTTACTCAGGAGAACAGATAACTATGCTTAAGGGACATTATAGAAGTGTTGACTGCTGTGTTTTTCAGTCTGATTTCCAGGTAAGAATGATACTTAAGGGAGTTAAAGTGGTTAGGTAGCTAGCTTGCCAGATTGGTTGTAAAAGAGTAAGTTACGATTTCATTCTGAAGAGTTATATTTTTAATGCACATTTCACTGGAGTTTATTTAATAAACAATGCTAAAGCCTTGATTTTAGATAGCATAGGATGTATGCATGTCTCAAGATAATTTTCTGTCTTTTGTGAAATAAATTTTCTGTCTTTTGTGTATGGGCTCCATTTAGCCATTGAAAATCACTGATGAAATGAAATATTTATTGCAGTCTTTTGAGTAAAAAAAAAATCAAGTATCAGTTTTTATTCTCAATGTAGTGTATCTTGCTCTATGTGTATGTGTATCTGAAATTTTTTCCCTTTTTTCTGCCAGTGGCTGACAAAAGTATGACACTGAATTAATGCAACTCACAAGTTGCTATGGCTGTTGTTTCTTTACTATTCTGAACCATCTCGTATTACCAATGGAATGAATATTTTTGTAATAACTTCTTATTTTTTATTGGTACATGTTTATAGTATATAATGGTTATATTCATCATGGGGAATTATATCTATGACAATTCTTAACCCCTTCCCTTCTGCTATGCGGCTATGTGTATTTGTGTGTATACCTGTATATATGTAAGTGTATATTATTTTATACATGTTTGTAGTACATGATAATCACATTCCTCGTAGGTACTTGGCACATGTACACAGGACTTCACAACCCACCCCTGCCACTTCAATCTCATTTCCCTTCCCTCTCTCTGTGTTTTGGTTTTGAAACAGGTTTGTTTGAAAGAATGTTTGCACATATTACCTCATCTACTCCTTTAAATGAGTCTTAGCAAGATAGTTATTATTTTTTCTATTTTATAGGTAAAGGAAAAAAAGTTCATGAAAGTTAAACACTGATAGAATGAAAATTATGGGTTATTAGAGCTTTACTAGGGACTTTATCACTTGAGGAAATGCCTGTCCATTCATTCATTAATATTACTCACCTAATTTGTCCCAGACACTGCTATAAGATGTATAGGCCTGATATTTACATAAATATTTTAATAATATTGTCATGCTAGTGTATACTAGCTACAAAATATTTACATATTCTACTGAATACTAAGTACTGTTGCACAAGTGTCCCCCAAGGCACCTCCAGCCCCAGCCTCTGGCCTAAAATTCTTAGATCCCACCTAAAAGGGAACCGCCAGGACCCAGTTCCAACTCCGTGACGAGTATCTCTTCTAATTAGTCCGTGTCTTGATGTGCTAGTTGTTTCTGGGTAAAAATATGAAAGCACCGGAGAGGACACATGACTCATTGGTTATTGAAAAAACATGATTCTATATTCAAAGACATTCTTAGAATATTATCCCTCACTTAGAGATACAGCCAAAATTTTAACCAAGATATTCTGACTAAAATTATTGCTCTCCACTAAGTCAGGGCTTCCTTTCAAATGTGCTTAAAATGGACTGAAAGTGTGGCAAGATACCGATTCCTCTCTGTTTGGAATAGATGGGTCAGCAAGAGACCTGGGGCAGCTTGCCTCCTGTGAAATACCATTTCTATTTGTGCTGTGAACTCATAGTTTAATCAGTGTGCTACATCAGAAAGTTCCTAATTCTTATTCCATTTCACATTTTGTGATTCTGAAAATAACTCTAAATCTTAAGAGTATAGTACTTTTTCATTCATTTAATAATAGACTATCGTTGCAAGTTACATATTATACAAAATTTACAATCTGATAATATAGTTATTGTAACTCCATCATATATATTAAAATCTAATATGAAAATAATGATAGTAGTAGGTTATAACCTGTTGACTAAAATACAAGCTATGAACTAAGCTTGTATAAATAAATGTATTAAAATTTGTTGAGGAATATGATCCTGGATTTGCATATCCTCAGAGAATGGCCCTATAAAATAAGGACAAAGATTAAAGTAACTTTATGCTATCCCAGTAATGAGATACCACTTCTATCATATTGCTTGCAAACATACAGCATCCAGTTGTAATCATGAAGAAACATGAGATAAGCCAAATTCGAAGGACCTTCCACTAAATAACTAGTGAGTATTTTTGAAATGTTCAAGGATAGGAAAGCCCCAAAGAGACAAAGAACTGTTCCCAAATGAAATCACGAGTCATGGCAACTATAATATTATGTGTGATTTTTAAACAGACCCATTTGCTATCAAGAACATTATGAGACAACTGGATAAATCTTAAAAAGGTTTAAGAATTAGATAGTACTGGCTTAGTGTTGTGGTATATACCTGTTAATTCCAGCTGCTGCAGAGGCTGAGGCTGGAGAATTGTAAGTTCTTGATCAGCCTGGGCAATTTAGTGAATAAAATCTCAGGAAAAAAATTAAAAGGGCCTGAGTATGGTAGGGTGCTTGCTCCTTGCTTAAATGTATAAATGTTCAGTTCCCAGCACTGCAGAGAAAAGAAAGAAAGAAAGGAAGGAAGGAAGGAAGGAAGGAAGGAAGGAAGGAAGGAAGAGAAAGAAAGAAAGAAAAAGAAAGGAAGGAAGGAAGGAAGGAAGGAAGGAAGGAAGGAAGGAAGGAAGGAAGAGAAAGAAAGAAAGAAAAAGAAAGGAAGGAAGGAAAGAAGAAAGAAAAGAAAGAAAAGAAAGAAGGGAGGAAAGAAAGAAAAAATAGAAAGAAAGGAAGTAAGGAAGAAAAGGAAAGAAACTAATATATCAGCAGGAATCTGGTTTTTTGAGACAGGGTCTCAAGGCTGACTCGCTGTGTAGCCCAGGCTGGCCTCTTAACTCACAGTCCTCCTGCCTGAGCCCCCCAGGTGCTGGGATGATAGCAGTGCTGCACCACATCCAACTTGATTTTATTTTATATGTGAAAGTGTCCTTTTTCACAAGTAACATATAGTGCCCTAATCAAGGGCAGTAGGAACTCATGTTGACAACTTTTTTATTGTTCATGAGAACAAAAAAAAATTTTTTTAATGTAACTTAAATTTTGAGGTGTTTTTAAAGTCCAGTTTCCCATATGAACCCCTACATCTAGTCCCAAAGCTTTGAGTTCCAATTCAGATCCCTTTAGGTGTTCTTTGTTAACCATTCTAACTTAAGTGCTGCCTCTTGCCAGCTCTTTCCTTGAACGTCTATGGAATATCTGCTGTGTCTACTCAGTGTGTCAGTACTTCTGAATAATCCTGTAAGCTTACTGATCACATTACCCTGCATATGTATCTTACCTTCACAATTGCCTGAGGACACTAAACCCCTGAACATGTCTTTGCATTATGCACAATTAGGGTAAGCACATATTCTAGATTTTTGTTTTGTTTTGGAAATTTGATAAATATCTAATTTAATTTTATACTTCTGTCCTACAAAAACCTCCTAATCTTTTTTCTTTACCCAAACCTTTACTGTAGTAAAAAAAAAAAAAAAAAAAAAAAAAAATGCTGATTATAGTGTATGTCAAGTGGTTTCCAAGGTATACAATAATAAAAATAAATAATTGCTTTCTAAAATAGGCAAGAAATGCCTAGTTAAAAAATACTTGTGAAGAAATAGACAATTGTATTTTTGAGAAGAAAAAAGGCACTTAGTCATCTAGCCCTTCTAACTTTGAGTGCGTGAGTGTGTGTATATGTGTGTGCTATCAGGGCTTTTGCACTGAGTACATCCCAGTCTTTGTCATTCACTTTGTATAATGAGACATAGTCTCACTGAGTTTCCAAGGCTGTCCTCAAACTTTCCATCTTCCTCCCTAAAACTTCCATCTCGGATTACAGCCATGCACATCACGCCTGGCCACCTAACATGTGGTTGCCCTTTTATCTCTTTGTCTCCTTTTAGCCTTCCTTTAATTATTGACCTACTGTTTCATGTGTTGTTTTCCCTTTTAACATTTTGAGTATTTTGTTTCTAACCTGTTCTTTTCTCCAATATTCTGAGTATTTCAAAAATCATTAAGTGTTCTTCAGAAACAGTTTTAGCTTGGGATATAATTTAGCTGCACAGTGCCTGCCTGGCAAGTGCAAGGTTATGAGTTCCAGCCCCAGTACCATGAGGGGGAAAACAGTTTTAATGACTATATAATACTTCATAATATAAGTACAATGGTAATTTAGTAATAATCACTTCTGGTTTTTGACAGTTATTACCTTTTCTTATGAAAAACTTTGTCAGAATATAAAATTTGAATTTTGTGTATGATTTTATCATAAATTTTGAGAAGTGCATAGAAAAATTTGGCTATATACTAAGATTCTATTCTTGAAAAAAGTTTTACCAACTTATACCCTGTGCATGTGAGAGTATCTGTTTCTTCACCTCATAAGAATGTTTTCAGTAAAACTTTGTTTCTTCAGTTTTTTTGAAAATGGGAATGAGTATTGGTCAGCCATGAGCAAACAGCATGTCTGTGAAAGACAGTGGCACACTGTGTCTCAGCCCACGCCTTCATTTATAAAGGAAGCTCAACCAGCAGGATGCAGGTCTCCACAATCTTGTGTTGAACAGATGAAAATTAGGCAGCAGCATGCTAAATAAAACTTTTTGTCAAGTTTTAGCTGTTTTAGAAGAAACATGCGGCTTTTTATTTGAGTTTGTCTGTAAAGCTGTATTACTGATAGAAATGCAAACTCTGTATTCCACCCTTCCTCTCTTGTGCACTTGAACTATATGAGTACTATGACTGGTAAAACTGCTAAGTTGTTGAATGCTATTCTGAAATTTTCATGCCATTAGAAAGAAAGTTTTTACTATACCTTTGAAGAGAGAAAAGAAAAAACTTTCAACTTAGTTTTTTTTTAGGTAATAGAAATAGAGTAAATCTCATTAATCTAACCTAAGAATCAATTTAAGTATTAATATAGCTCATTTGAGATTGGTACCAACTTTAGTGTGATCCACAATCTCACCTCTGCTTTTTGCACTATAGGAACTTTACAGTGGAAGCAGAGACTGCAATATTCTTGCCTGGGTACCATCTTTATATGAACCACTTCCTGAGGAAGATGAGGTAAATATTACTTGTATAAGTGGTACAATGACTTTTTTTTTTTTTTTATTTAAGGAGAAAAGAAAAAAAAAAGTGAGAGGGTACAAGTTATACAGATTTACAGAAGAAAAAAATGAACAGTAGGAAATCACTAGTTAATGGATTACATATTGCCATCTTAAAAATAATTGTTCAAGTCACAAAATTAAAGCTTGTAGAGTGGACATTCCAACAATAATACTGCAAACAGTTCTGTTCAATGATCCAATAAAACTCTGTGATATCATTTTCTATCTTATACACTTAAATATACATGCAGTTATATAGTTTAGAGCACTTTCTTTTCCTCTCTTTTGTACAGTGACTATTACACATTTTGGGTTTCATTGCTCCCACGGTTCTTATTGCTTTTTTGGAAGAGAGTAAAACCAAATGAGACATAACAGGACAGAATCGGTCAAGTCAAAAGGGTGGACATAATAGATAATATAAAAACATAATACAAGGTGATCATCTATGGTTACCATAATGCCTCCCGCTATCTCTAATAGAATTGCCTATATCATTAGTTATAATACAATTGAACAAAACAGTAAAGAATAAAACCGACAAAACCAAAACATTGGAGACATTGTAGGTCTTCAAAAGTAGATAAAAGTCAACGAGAGTGGGTGTTATAATGAATCTCATTATCTTCACAGCTGATGCCTAAACTTTCGAACCTGATACTATCCAGCAAAACAGAATAGGGGGACATCAGTCAAAAACAAGATGGTGAGAGTAATACAGGGCTTTAAATCGAGATAATGGAAAGTCAAAGTGGGTTACTATAATATATCCTGCTATTTTTTTCCTTTAATTAAAAGGATAAAAATAAAAAAGTAAATAATGGGGTGGAGATTGAGATAAAAGAGGGCATAACAGTGAAACAGCGCAGATCAAAACATAACCATTTAAGCAGAATAGTGTTTCACCACCAGATAATTCCGACCTAAAAGTAGTTACCATATTGACTCTTTCCTTGAAGTCTTTGAGTACAACAACTTCATATACTGTAGCATTAAGTATATCAAAACAATGTAAAACCATTTAAGAGAATGACAGCATTACATTTTAAATCATAAGAAATTTTATTTATTTATCATAGTTAATATCATGGTTGGACATACAAATTGATACCTTACTTTTCTTATTGATGGCACAGTTAGCCTTCTTCCAGTCATAGATAACTATTTACAAACATTTTTAATAATATAGTACTGTTATTTCTGTATTATAACTGAAATATTAGTTTATTTCTGTTCATTGTTTTAAACATGTAAATATCTGTTCACAAATTGTTCATATTTCTGATTTTTTGGATAGATTTCTAAAAGTGGAATTATCTCCAGTTATCTACCATGTATGACATTTTTAATATTTTTTATTCACATCACCAAATTTTACCAATTTATACTTCTTTTAGCAAACTAAAGTATCTGAGAGCATAAATTAGTATAAATATGACAGTGTGAATTAAGAGCAGTCAGAAATGGAAGTTGAATGAGACATGATCTCTGGCATTAGATATTAGCCTATTCTAAAAAAAGTATGCCAAGCAGTAGTAACAGGTTATCTGAAGATGATATCTCTCCTACCCAGGATTATTCTACTAAGCACTATTAATAATCCCCATTCATTTAAATTTCTAAGGTGTAAAAAGCATAGTAATTCTAAAGCCATGTTTATATACAACTTTCAAGTTGGAAGTATAAATAATGTAGTTAAAAACACCTTAAGATAATCTTAACCCAAGTCACTAAAAACAAAGCATCTTTTTTAAAAAATTTTATTTTGAATGTAATAAAAATATCACAGAACAAGACAGAACAAAGCCAATCAAGACAATGTAGTGACATTCGTACAGAACTTCAAAGCAGGATACTGGGATAGTAGTAATGGATACTATAGTATATCTCATTATCTTCACAATACTTGTCCAGTCAATTAGGTATAGTGAAATCAAATCAATAACAGACCATTGTAAAACCAATTAAAGGAGAATACTGAATAGATCAAACAATCATTATAAAACATAACAGTGAAAATAACCTTTGCCTTCAAACAGAACATAGAAGGAAATCCCCCATATTTGCTGTATTGCATATGGGCATCCTCCCAAGAGATGCTCAGAATTCTGTCCCCATTGCTGATGGTGGGGAGAGATGTTTGATTCTCAGCCATCGCGCCAGTAGGCTCACGGGAACAGCTGACTGGTTCTCCTCCCTGCTGGCGCCCGGGGTGTTTACCGAGAGGGCAGGCAAGTTGTCTTCTTGTGCAGCTGCATAAGTCCCAGCGTGGCGGGGCAGCATCTTTTTTTTTTTTTTTTAAACAAAGCATCTTAAATGGAGGTGGAAGGAAGTTATTGATAAAGCAAGTTGTTGTTGTAAAACATTTTTCGCATATTTAGTTCCTTTATGAATAGCACTGTCAAAAAACACATGAAACAAAATTGCTCTGATAGTGGTATCTAGCAGTAGCTATTGATAGTATCCAGCAGCTGTTTAACAAAATATATTTCATACTTTAACTTGCAACTATTATAGGTCATTACAGTCAAAAGCCTGTGAATTATTTTCTTTTGACCCAAATTCACATGAAAGAGAAAAAAAAAACATTTTCAGGCAGTTGGCCAAATGCAGTATGAGTATATCCAGGTTTCTTCACATGTATAATTTGGTTCATTATGGCTTCATTAGTTTTAGCATACAACTGCTTTTGATGACTAAGTATTCTTCAGTATAAAGTTTAATATTGTCAAATAGTTTAGCTTAGCTATTTATTTTACTTTATTTCTTGATTACATATTCTGCTTTTTGAGAATTACTGTATATATTAAATCAAAGTCATAGCACTATGGGCCATGTTAAGAAGTATAACAATTATTTACTAACTGAAAATAGTAAGATTTTTTGTAAAGTAAATCTGTGACTTATTTATAGAAAAGAATATTAGGAGAAAACTACATTACCTTTCATAAAAATAATTTGTGACTTTGATGGTTTATTTCTTTGTTATGTAATCATATTGATAGTTTGAACTCTCCATCTGAAAGAACTTTTATAGGAGAAATTAAGCAAAAGAAATAGAAAGTAAAATAGAGATATACAAAAAAAGTTCAGCTTGATATTTAAGTCTTAGAGCGATAGCCTTTTCTTTTAAAATTTACTATTCATGTAATTTAACAAAGAAATCATACTCATATTAATATGAAGTACTACATGCTAAATCTATTTTTCTTAGAACTATAGTTTGAAAGATCCTTATAAATGTAAGCAAAATATGCGGATTATCATGATAGAAATCCCAATAATGAATTCTGTCTATACAAGTACCTATTCTTTTACGTGTATATTTACAGTTTTACTCCTATTCGAAAATGGTTTCAACTGTCGAGTAAATGACTACTGTAGTTTCCCAGGGAAGCAACATTACACAGTACAAAACAAAACACACACATACATGTATGTAAACCTGGGTTTGAATCCTGGTTCTACCATTTATTACCCAGCTCTGCTGATACTATCCTGGGACAGGTTTATGGTATTTTCAGTGTATCAGAACTGTTAAAACTAAGTTGTTTGTAGGTTTCACTTTAAATTCAGTTTCCCCATCAACTGAGATATGCTCCCTTAGAGATGTTCGAGATGTTTCTCCCGGTATCCAAAGTGGAGGAGGAGGGATTTAATCGTGTCTAGAGAAAGTGAACAATGTTAGATAGTAGGAGTAAGTTTTATGGCCATAGAGCATATGTTTCATTATTTCATTTTCAGGCTGTTTTATAATATCCTGAGACTTCTGCCTTTCCTCCCTTCCACTTTCTAAGTGGTCATCATCAAGTTCAGCTTATCTGTATTTCATCCCTTTTTTCCTGCCTGAGATTTACAGGGCGGGTGCAGTTTAAATATGACTTCTCATCAGGAATAGTACTTTAGTTTGATAGTCATGCAATATACGCCTGTTTTTCTTGGCACTTGGTAGATGTATAATCACCTGCTGACACAGAAACCTGTGAAACTTTCCAAAAATGAGCAATCAGAAATTTGGAAGTTACCAAGATTATCCTGACAGGTTTCATTTTGGTTTCCCTCCTCCATTTGGACCTAGACTAGGTCCCCTCTAAACTCCTGCTTCTTCATCCCCCATAGTACTCAACTCTCTGTCCATAGAACAAGCGACCTAGTGAGGTAGACATGAGTACGTTCAAGTGCAGATTGGCTTTCTGCAAGGAAGAGACAGAGAGAAATCCAAAGTAGTAGGAGGTGGTTAAACTTTTCAGGGTGTGTCCCATAGTAATTTGTGTATGAACATTAAAAGTCTCTAAAGACAGTGGGGAAGAAGAGTCCCCTAATGCCCTGTACAATACATTGCTGAGGAAATTCTCACTGAATAACCTAACTTAGTAGTTAAGTTGTTTATCCAAAAAGAAAGGAAATTCAGAATATATTCAGATGAAAAAAATAAGTGAACCAACTTGAGTATACTATTCTTACATAAAAGAAGACTACTGCTAGTATTGAGTAGGTGGCTACCTGGGGTTTGAGCATATCTAGACATTTGGGAGCAGATACAATGGAATTCTGGTTGTACACCTAAATGATGTCAGCCAGCATTAGGCTCAGTAATGTACTCTATTTAACATCCCTAAAGAATAACTACATTAATATTTTGTTTTCTATCTTTCCTAGTTGATACTCAGGAAATTTACTGGGCATACTGGCTTTTTCTACTGTTTTCATTGTTTGAATTAGAAGATTCTGAGTCTTCATGTTCATCAACAGGAAAATGAACATGCTCAGATACACTAAAGTAGGGGTTCCCCTTAACATAAGATATTTCTGTAAGTTATAAAAGGAAATGCATCGAAGATAATTTAAGAATAGTTTTGGTACTGATAAATTATTGGAATTTGGATCTGAATAAATTGGTGAATGCATAAGCTGCAAACTAGGAAGCAAACTTTACTCATATGCCCAGATACTTTCAAATAGTGCCACCATGTTTAAAACTGTTTAGTCCTGGGCAGAGAATAAGAGGGTAGCCATTCAGGTTTCCCAAACAAGTGAATTGATTTGATAATTCATAGTTAATTAATCTGCTATAGAGGAATTGCTCATAACTTCTATAATGTTGTAATATTGTATACTGTGATATTTCTTGTTTTAAATAAACACTATCTCAGGGGCTGGGGATTTAGCTCAGTGGCATAAGCACCTGCCTTGCAAGCAGGCAGTCTGAGTTCAATTCCTGTTACCAATAAAAAGGAAAAAGACAAAAAAAGACATGTATAAATAAACACTGTCTCATACGTATTGTCCTTCAGAGAAATTTCCCAGGGAAACCTATGTGCCGATTATAATCTTGTTACCATTTCTGATATGTTTTGCATGTGTTTCTGGAGTACTTTGCCAACTACATAATAATAAGCAAAAAGTTCATGCTTTAATAATCAATCCCTTTACTTTGTTGCATTAGAAATGGCGTTACTCAGCTTAATGAGCACTTATTTCTCACGTATCAGTATTTGTTTAGTTATACAAGTTCAATTGACCCAGCAATGAAAAGTTTCCAGCATTAAGTTAAATGGTTAAAGGTGCCCAGTGAGACTCTAGACGTGGAGCCAGTCTTAACTCCATGGATGTCAACGTTCTACCTTCTCCAGCTAATTCTAGAATGTTATAGTAACACCCTGAGCAACAGCAGCATCACATGTATGCATTTGTGAGCTGAACACTTTAAAGCAAACACAAGTTACTTGGATACAGTCTGATATAGCTATTTCAAATGAAGTTACATTGCCTTACATATATATTGGGGGTGTTACTTACAATATTCAAATTGTTGTTCATCTGGCATATTTCATAAATATATTATGAGCCTGAAGTTGTAAAGCAGAAAAATAAGAACTTCCTTTTTTTTTTTTTTTTTTTTTTCTTTTTAGACTAAAACCAAGTCCCAGTTAAATCCAGCCTTTGAAGATGCCTGGAGCAGCAGTGACGAGGAAGGATGACTGTCAGCCCTGAGGACCTTTGTTTCTCTCAGGATGAAACTTTTTAAACAGCGCTATTTATGTGGAGGGTTTTGTAACTGTTCATTTTATTCCTAAAAATTAAATATGGGTGATATTTTTTACTAATGTATTAAAATGAGGTTAATATTTCTATGAACTCCTAAAATCTCATGTCATTTACTCAATTAGCATAAATCAGTAAGAAAAGCAACTGTAAAAATAAGCAAATGATGTTAAAAAGTAATTCAAACGTGACACCTCAATAGCTACAAAAGTCTGTGTCAGATCCAGTGTGAAGTACAGGAAGACACACCAAAATGTTTTTATTTGCCAAAACATTGTAGTAAACAGTTGATCAGCAAGAGATGATCAAAGAATATGGTGAATGTTTCCATGGAAAACATTTATTATAGTAACATTGCTATTAATTCCCCTCAAAATACTTTCTCTTAATTCACTTATCCTGTCATGATGGCAAAGACATTTAACATAATAAGTTTGTTTTTATTTAAACATTTTGTGGTGAAAATGAGCAAAGAAAGGCCCATTTTTCAATCACTTTTGTAATAATAAAACAATAAAATGAACATACACGTATAGTCTGAAAACAGCAAGGACTTAGAGAAATAACTATTGTATGTAGATTGTGGTAGAGGTGTAAATTGTTATTGTTGAGGAAAGTAAGATAGTGCTGTGGTCTGAATGTTAATGACCTCAAATTCGTGTATGAATCTGTGTCTCCAAACATAAGGACACCCCACTCCCACCCCACCATATGCACACTCATAGGAAGGGGAAGGAAAAGCCATGAGAACACACATTGAGAAGAAGACCCTAACTATAACCTACCACATAGGCACCCTGATCTTGGACTTCTAGCCTCCAGAGCTGTAAGAAAAAATTATCTGTTTTTTAAGCCACCCGATGTGGTGTTTTGTTATAGCAGACTGAGCTCAGTCAAGGTAGTCAGCCACAAGCCGTGCAAACTAACTCTGGGTCATTCAAACTGGAAAGGAGCTTTAACAGTATGAAGAAGATTCCAGAGTCTCCACAAAGGCTGGGCAGCAGCCCTGTAAAAATAGGAGCCAAGAGTTTCTGCTGACAAACCAGACTGAGGAGCCACCTCCCTCACTGGCAGACACAGCTCCTTTGTGTCCTGGTTTCAGCTTCAGAATCCTGTGTGGGGACAATGAGGGTTGTATCTGCTTGGCCAAGTGTCTGTGACTGTGGCTGTGTTCTCCAGTGGCCCAAAGGGCTGGCAAAGGAGGTGTTCTGCATGTGCAGCTTCTTCTCGTGGGAGGTGAGCTGGGTCACTGACTGTCTTACTCATGAGAACACCTCAAAAACAGGACGAAGGGTCAGACACGGGAGGCACAAAACACGCCCTTGAAACAGAACAATACATCTCATGACTAGCAACTCCATTTCTAAGAACAAACCCTAAAAATTTTTCTCTACATGGATGCAAGAAAATATTTATTCTTATATTTATTGTTTCAAAAAAATTGAAATAATGCCATTTTATTCATTATGAGCAGTATAGATGCATGGTTTAGTTATACAATAAAATACTATAAATGAAAAAACTTTATTCACTTATTTTTAATTATATTATTTAATACAATATTAATATTTGAGTAGACCATGTCGTTGTTTTATCCAGATTCCCTTGGAGCCTTTGTTGATCTCCAGAGTTCACTTCACCAACATAATTGTCTCAAGTCAGTTTCCAGGAACCTCAGTGAAGACAATGTACTAACAAAAACTCCCAATTATCCCCATCCATGCCTGTACTCTTCTCTCCACTCACCTCTATGTGAATGTGCATGTGCAGATCTAAGCCACAGTCTCTCCCTATGCACTCTTTCCAGCCCCTGCCAGCCTATTCCAGGGCATCGCTGCAGTTGTCTTTCTTCCAGTGCCATAACCTTTTCGTTCTCCAATAGTTTTTCCAACATATAATAAACCTAGCATAAATGTCATATCTTTAGAAAAAACTCTAGACTTTTGTATAGATTAAAAATTGGTGGTTAACTTAATGCCAGCAGAATTAAATCACCATGGTGTTGAATGTAGATGTTTCATCTAAGGAAGGTTGCCAGCATAAATAGAGATGTGGAGAAGGAGACGGGAGGCGTGGAGGCATGGAGGCCTTGTGGGTTCTTCTTGTTGCTGTTTGAGCCTTTGGTTCTCCTGGAGGAGCTCATCAGCTTCCCCAGTCTGAGTTCGACCACTGTCATAGGAGAAGCTTGGGACCTTGCTGGTGAGAGTGGCTGTGGTTCAATTTGGAGGAGCTCTGGACCTTACATGGAGCACCGCTTCCTGCTTCCGGAGGGAAGGACATGTGCCATTTAATCTCCAGGAGAAACTCATCACACTGGCTTCCTGGCATGCACTCGACTGTGCTTGTCATTAGAGGAGCTGGGGGCCTCCATGTTGCTGAGGATGGCTGTGGTGCTTTTTAGGACAGCCCTGGTCTTTATTATAAGCGTGACTTCTCAGTTACAACACAGAACCTCAACCTACCTGCACAGTTCCTTCACCCTTTGTCATGGACTTACTGGCTTCGACGACTGACCTTTGGGCCTTCTCAGCATGGATCCGTAAAAGAGACTGATGTGAGTCCTTCTTGTAGGCTCTAGACCTCCAGTTGGACTAATAGGCATTGTCATGAGCTCTGGGTCTTCATCTGGACTCATGTGGGACATTGCTGTGAAATTTAGGCCCTTGGCTAAATATTCTGTGTCTTTAGTGTTGTGGATATATTTCCTACATTTTCTTGGGTTAACTCTGGGTGACCATCATCTAATAATATTATAAATTCCATGTTCTGATTCTAATTGTTCTGCTCACAATCCTGACTAAAACAACTTTATTTGCTCTTTTTGTCATTGCTTCATTTATTTGCTCCTTTATACTACAAAAAGTTCTTTTTTAAACTACTCTTTTCTGAGTACTGGAAATCAAATTCAGGACCTTGCACTTGCCAGGCAGGTAGTTACACTGCTGAGCTGTATCCCCAGCCCATCACAAAAGTTGTTGAAAAAAGGCCAGGGATATAGTTCACTGGCAGAGCACCTGCCCGGCAAGCACAGGGTCCTAACTTCGATTCCTGGAACCAGAAAAAAAAAAGTTCTTGAAACATCTGTCTATGAAATTGTTCTTTAATTTCTCTTCCATCCTTTTCATTTCTCCAAAAGTGTGCAAACCAAAGCTGAGGAGCTACTTAGGAGTTCCACCTTGTTAAATCAGTGGCGACTTTCTAATTCTCAGCTTTTGAACTAGTAATCACCTCCTATACCTTTTAAATTTTTTTCCTTTTGCTGTGTTGAGTCTGTACAGTAAATATTCATTTTCCTCAGTGTGGAATGAATGTCTCCATAGTACTTTGCATATGGCTATGTGACATACATGAGCCCATGAACTATTTGCCAACCAGATGTGAAGCCTTCAGTGGGTTTTGAATTGACTTTTGCATCTCAGTGATTAAAAAAAAAAAATGTTCTCTAAACTATCCGAGCTCCAGGAAAAACACATTGAAGATCCAACCCCAACCTACAACACACAGCAGAGCTACTCAGAGCATAGCTTAGGACAGCTCAATGCAACCAACTTACACACCTATGCACATGAAAACAAATACGTGACCATAAGCTAGTGTGATACAAAGTGAAGATATAAAGCATTATCGTGTCAATACCTACCCAGCACACCTCCCTTCCAAAACACATCCTTCCCTGACTGACTGTTCCTCACTCCCCTGACAATTTATGACCCAAAGTCTCCCAGGACCAATTTTCAGACCTCGTCTCTTTTCTCACTCTTGGTGCCCTTAGACGCTCACATCTTTTAAATATGATGTGTACACTCAGGTCTCTTTCTTTAATTCCAGATGATGAAAGAACAAACTGCCGACCCGCCTTGGATTTCTAATAGGAATCTCAAATCCAGAGTTTCCCAAACCATTCCTGCTACTCCTGTCCCAACTTTTCCCCTCACAGTCTTCCTCTTATTAAGTGGCAAGTCACACCTTCCCTACTAACCTGTCCAAGCCACCTTTATCTCTTATCTGGATTGTGAAACAGTGTCCTAGGATTTTCGTGCTCCAGCTCTTCCTCTCATCACCCCATACTCTGCTCAAAAAGTGTTGCCTGAATCTTACTTTCAGATGTCAGCCAGATGGTGTCAGTTTTAAACTGCTTCTTAAGATTTTGGCCTCCTTCACTCTTACAATATCCCTACTCACTCCATCCAGTCACTCTTACCTTTCTGCTATTTTATGAATTGTAACATGTTAGCCAGGCTGGTTTCTACTGACTCCTGGGCCATGTCGGCAGTGATTACCTGGAGAGACAAGGGCTCCCCACCTCATCTCTTTAAAATCGCCACTCAAATGGCTCCTCTTGCTGGGGCCTTTTCCTAGCCATGGTACCACTGCAACTCCTATCTCCAAAACGTGCCCTAGGCTCCCTCCTCCTTCATTTCTTCTTCAGAGGGGGCAGGAAGGTAAGCCTAGGGCTCCAGCTCAGGAACCACCTGCGGGGTCCATCAGGACCAGCCCCTCTGAGGAAGTTCGGGGCCCACACCCTGCCCTGCTGCGTCCCTGCTACACCAGAGATCCAAGCCAAGCACTGTGGATGGATCGAGGCATGGGGCCCAGGCTTGAAGGGCGGAGGTGCCGCCTGGTGGTGTAGGAAAGGGAGGCCTTGACTGCTGAGGTCGCGGCAGGGCTCAGTAAGGGCCTCCCCAGCATCTCGGTGCACCATGAGCAGAGCCCCTTTTTGCCAGCCTCCTGCCCCGTGTGCTTTTGGTTCTCGCGGTCAGGGTGAACTTGGGGTGCTGCTCTTGGACTGGAGCACAGTGGCTTAGGTTTGCAGAGCAGCGTCTAGTCCCAGAGGCAGAAGGAAGCCTTTGATTACATCTCTCATTGATTGCCTTAATTCTTGTTGCTACTCCAAAGAAACCTGATCTCCCCAAAGTTACTGAGAAGTAAAATCCAGCGCTCTTTCATGGCAGACATTTGTCAAGTGCTTGTGTGCTGGGTAGGCACTAATCTAAAATGTTTGTGTTAATGATGGCAATCTTCCACAATCCTGTGAGATAGATGATATTGTCATTTTGCCGATGAGGAAACTGAGGCACAGAGGACCCACACCTAGATTCCAGTAGGGGTTTCTGCTCTGGGCTCTGGCTCTTGGGCAGAAGCTGTTGTTTTCCGTGCTAAGCTCTCTCACCCCGAGTTATTTTCTTGGTCCTTGTTTTCCTGAAGTGCTGCGCTGTTTCAAGCATCATAGACCAGGCTCTTGGCCTTTGGTCCCTTTTTCCTTCTGTGTGCCTTTCCAGTCGGTGAAGCTCTGGTGATCCAGAACAAGGATGTGTGTATACTAAACACACGCTTTGCTTGAGCACCATCCCTAGCCTCACTCTTTTTTTTTTTTTTTTACACATAGATTTTAGGGGATTTTGCTTCCTCACTCACCTTTATTTCTCTGGCTTTAGATTTAGTGCTCCTCACATCCATCAGTTTTAGTATAACATCTCACTGCACATTAGGCTATTCCTTTGGACTTGGCCTGCTCTCTCCCCAAGTCCATGCAAAAGATTATTTCTGTCAGGGCTCTCACTATTACCCTAGTCACCAAGGTGCACCATTTCTGTGTCATGTACCCGCACCTGAACGTGAAATCTCTGTTTCAGCCTTTGTGGGGTCATGTATAGCACTCATCAACCTCCGCCCCCACTAGATGTCGTCATGATGGTTGGATGAAGCTACAGTCAGGCCAAGTGGGAGTCACTTCCCAAAACCCGTGTAAGGTGTTGTAGGTCTGAATTTTGCTTGGGAGGCACTGCCACTCTTCTCCAGATTTCTTCTTTCTCCCCTCATTTATCTTACCTTACACCAGTTTTGACTGTTATCTTCAAGTGCTTTCCACATACAAATCATTAACAACTTAGGACATACTTCTTCAGACCTTACACCAGTGGTTAAAAAATATTTGTAAAATATAATATGATACAAATTAATGTAGCAGAGACAGAGTAGGTTTCATGATGTTGGAAATATCTATTATGAACTGATATGCATGGATATCTGTAATAAAATATCTTTAACTTGTTTAGAAAGATGCCTAACAGGAATAACTGTGTGAAATGAAATTTTTAGCTTCCAAAGAGGTTTAACTAGTTTACATGAACTTACCTTTTGTAAACAATTGACAAAGGTTTTCCTCCCATAAAGTCATTTAAATGAAATTCTAAAAAAAACCTCTGAAAGTAATTTATAAAATAAAAGGCTGCAAATTTGTTTTGAACAACAGCATTACTGAATAAGTATTCAGTTGCTAAAGTGAATCCTTTGAGGCAAACTACTTCTATTTGGATGAATACATATTGCTAGTTTTCTTTAAACAATGGTCCACAATTTGGGACAATTTTGTCATTCAGGGGTTCTACAATTTGGGGAAACAATTTTGTTTGTCTCAATGTGTGTGGATGAATTCCTGGCATCTAGTAAATAGAAGTTAAGTTTGGTTCCAGACAGCATGCAGTACTCAGGACAGATCTGCACAAATAAAAATTACCAGGCTCAAAATTTCAGTACCATGAAGATGGAGAAATCCTATTTTAAACAAATTCTTCCTTCATTTTACTCACACTTTAATATAAAATTTCTGATCTTAGTAAGTCATTAGGAAACAATGAATCAAACACCAAAATTTTTGCCTAGCCACACAGCTCTTTGAGATTTTGCTTCTGCTTAAATGGCCAGAGTGGGGTGGGAGGGAACCCAGGTCCAAGTAGATGGCGTGTGGATACCAGGAAGCCCACAGATTCATAATGAGATCAAACTTTGCTTAGTAGTCTCTTGGATTCTTAGCTCAAGATTTTTTTTCTTCCCCAACAATGGGGACTAAGACTGTCTGACTTCTGATTTTCCAAAGTCAGAACCCCTAGAGGATAGCACCTTTACCCCGGAGCGGAGCTGGGAAGGCTCTTCCCATCTCCCTAACCTGGCCCTCGCCTTATTTTGGCTCTGCTGGCCTCTGGTGTCTTCTCGGAGCCACCATGGATTGCTTTTTCCTTTTGTTCTCCCCAGTGCTCTGCTCTCTGTCCCAGCAACACTTTCTGCATTTCTTCTTGATGTTCTTATGGTTAACCTCGTCTTTTCTCTTCTAAATTTTGAGTCATAGTTGGAAGAGCTTTTCCCATACCAAGATTTTAAAAGTGTTTTAGCATGTTATCACCTATTAATTTCCCTATTTTTTAAATTGAAATTGTTGATCTATCTGGAGTTCACCTTGGTTTGCAATATTTGCACTCAACATTTTTTTTCAGGTCTCTTTCTAGTTGTGCTACATTTTCCTTTAAAGGGAGTAATAAAGCAACAACAACAAAAACGATACAGGATTTCAAAACAAGATGGTAGGAAATTAACAATAGTTATTATGCTGCATATTGTTATTTCCAAAATAGTTGCTCAGATTGCAGATACAGGCATGCAAAACTGATCAAACAATATAAGCACTATCTGTTCCTTTGCATGAACTATTAGTATCAATAGTACAATCATCTCAGCTATCTCATATCTCACACGTATATATATTTCACACTTCCTTTTTTCTCCTTTCCCCCATCCCAGTTTTTTTTTTTTTCTTTAGAGCAGCTTCTTTCCCTTTCACAATATCTATTGTGCATTGTGGATCTTATTCACTCTTTCAGCTTCTTTCACTAGGGAGACAATACGATGTTTTCACATGCAGGTCTGATTTATTTTGCTTATGAGTGTGGTCTCTAGTTCCAGTCATTTACCTATCAAAGTCTCGAGTTTATCTTTCGTTATTGTGCTACATTGTTGACTGAATAATTACCAATAACTCATTGCTTGTTCAATTAAGGTGCCACTTTTAGCATGTATCATATGTCTTGCTTATTTACTTATGTGAATAAACTGGCTTTATTTTATAATGCTAGAGAGAGTCCCAATTTTTCTTTCGCAAACTTGGATTTTTAAATTGTGGTAAAATGTACATAATGTAAAATGTACCCACTTAAAACTGTTTGAAACCTTTTTAAACACAAAATCTGGTGGCATTAAGTACATTTACATTGTAGTACAGTCTTTACCACCATTTATCTCTAGGACTTTTTCATCTTCCCATTATATGGATTCAAGTCAAATACCCTGGTCATGTCTGAAATCCCATCTATTTGTACAGTGCGCCCGGGTTGCAGAAATGTTAAAGTGTGAGAAAACATAAATATTAAATACTAAAATGCCTTTTAAAATTCTCAAGTGTATTGGTATATTTCTGTATTCTCTTCTCTTCATTTGCCTCTTCTCATGCTAATGCTGTACTGTTTTATTAATTAAGATTTATAACATCTTTGAATATAAAATGTTCACTCTTCACTGGTCATCTTTCAGAGAAGAGTTATTCTTGTCAACCTGGCCAGACAAACTAAGCAGCTTCCTTCTACTGGGCTCTTGTGGGTTGTTGTGGTTTTTCTGCCTCTGTTTTCTGTGTACACAGAAAGCCTTAGTGGGCCTGAGGAGGAGCTCTGAGTCCAGGAACAGTGACCTTCTCTGAACTTTGACTTTTCCTCTGGGTTTTTTTCAGCATCACCATAGTAGGTGGAGTGCATTCCTGACCTGTTTTCTCCATATCAGGGAGATACTCCCCCCAAAATTCTTAGAATCATTTAATCCTTTTGTATTTTGCGTATAGAATGTCATCTTTTATTTTGGCAAAGCTGGCAGTGTACCTACAAGGATGAAGAATCTGAAAAGTTTGTGACAGCATCTATTTTTAATATGATTCACTCACGTGTTTACTTTTAGTAGAAGTTTCTTGCTCTGCCGGTTTTTCCTATGAAGTTTTTAGCATTTTAAATATTATGTTACTAAAAAGTTAACTTTATTTTGTATTTACAGATTATAAGGTCCTTTCTGTTTTATTTTACAAAAGAAACCATTAGAAGAGCCCTAAATTTTGTGTAAAATGACCTTGACCTTCAGTCATTTTACATTGAGGAGTATATGTTTTTATGATAACTAGATCAAAGATGCTGGGGAGGAAGCAAATTTCTTAAGCAAGGCTCATCTTTCTTTCTGTTTGTGTCAAATTCCCATTTAATTGAAACAGAAAGAGAAATGTTGTTACTTCAAGCTCCCTCATTACCAGTTACCATGGAGGAAAGGCCAGTGGTTGCCTTACCGATACATACATACATAGAACTACACAGATGTTCAATAGAATATTTATATAGTGAAAATAGCCTAATATGCAGTGAAGGAAACTGGTTAATAAGTAATGGAGCATTCAAACTTTGTAACCATTTAAAAGTGCTTTTGCAAGGATAGTGCTGTTTGGTTTGCTTTTGTCTTAATGCTCTTAAGGGAAATTAGGGTTACTGCCAACCAGTTTTGTTCATGGTGATTCTTGACTGGGAGAACCTCAGCTTGCAGAGGGATATTAGAAAGAGCAGAGTGTTTTTCTGGAACAGCCCAGAGTGGTTCTACGATGCCTGCCTTCTTGCCTTGCCCACTGAAAAATTAGTGTTTTAGAAAAACATTTAGTGCTATAGCAAGAAATTTAAAATATGCTAAAAGAAAGCAGATTACAAAGCATTATATGTATTTCTTCTCTGGAGGTTAGCAGTTATTTCTGTGAGGTAGGGTTAGGCTTGTTTGTTTGTTTGTTTCAAGTGTCTGTGTATTGTTTTGCTTTTTGGTTTGTTGTTCTGTTTGGGTACTGGAATTGAAACCCAGGGCCTTGTATAATGCTAAGCACATCTTGTATTATTCAGCTGTACTCTCAGTATTTTACTTATCTATGATAGTCTATATTTCTAAAGCCACAACCAATGTGTGTTTAAGAATGTTTTAAATGTACAACAGAGGTAACTTTTATTTAAATAGGTATCAGAGCAGTTTTAGAACTTACATGGACCTCAGATATCATTGAAACTAATATCTCACTTTTCAGTAAAGAAGTTTAGACTCGGGATGCAACCTTCCATGATTCCTAGGTGGAAGAAAAGATGAGAATCTATGTTTTCTTGTTATGATTAGTATTTTGGTGTTAACATATATTCTTGAGTTACACATACTCATCACCATCTTCACTCTTTTAGATTGTTTCTTTTCCATCAATCATAATCTCATGTCCACCAAATTAAGGAAAAGAAATGCTACCTCTTGATATCTAACAGTTAAATTATGTTCCAGTTTACAATGATTTCTGCAAAGACAGCCTCTTTCAAAGTTGACATCCTGCTCAGGAGATTGCTAAAGACCAATTTTATTTCACTAAGGTAGGTCCCCATAGTTTCACTGCTGATAATTGCTAGTAACCTTTTTCTAACATCCCATAAATCATCTTTATCCTGGTAGGGAAAGAAAGTGATTAATTAGATGTTATCTTTTTTTCCTGAATTTTTCAACTTACAATAAAGTGAATATATACATTTTTTCTTTCTTTTTTGCTTTCTTTCTTTCTTTCTTTTTTCTTTTTTTGGTTCTGGGAATTGCATTCACACCCTCACGCTTGCAAGGCAGGTGCTATGCCTCTGAGCTATATCCTCAGCCCCTTACATTTTTTTAAAGGTCATACTTCTGTAAAGATTCACAGTAATCCTCATAAATTCAGCATTTAAATATTCATCTATTAGTTGCTTAAATAGTGCTGTTTAAATCTGATTTTCAAAGTAAACATATGTTTTGCTCACTGAACTCTGTTTGAACATGGGAGCCCAGCAGATTTGTGTAATTTTAAAAATAGAGCTATTTGGAAGAACAGATCCCTTGTAATCCAAATCTTTCTATTTCCTGTCTCAAATGCAGAAACCCAACAATATAGATAATCAGTGTCTTCATTCAGAGCCAGATAGACTTAGATGACAGTGATTGTTAACATTCCCCAGAAGTAGAAAATTTCATAACATGTACTACTTCAGAATTCCTCTTCCAATTTTCCTTTTTTTTGGTACCAGAAATTTAACTCAGGACCTTGAGCTTGCCAGGCAGGTACTGTGCTGCTAAGCAATACCGCAGTTTAACTTTTTACTTTTTATTAGGAATGTCTTGATTGAAAAGCTGAAAAATCCTAGATCAAAGATAGGAATGATAAGCACTGTAAGGTGGTTAAGATTAAGAGGAGCGTCCTGGAAAGCATGGTAAATATGGCAGTGAAGATGTGCTCTGAAGAGAGGCAAGGAGAGAGAGGGAGCACCGCACATCTGAGGTTATGGTAACTAACCTTGGGGGAGACAGAGGGCGTGGCAGTGTGGAAGGAGAAGAGCTACATTTAAGGTCCTTTACTGCCCTTGACTAACTAGGGAATCTTCAATAAGTTATGTATAGCCTATGAGTCTCAGGGGGTTTTTTTGTCAGTAAGACAAAGTGAGACCCGCTCCTACCAGCTACTAGATATTATGCAGAATGTACTGTGTTAATCTGGGAAGTAATGGTGATTGTCACAGATGACAGAGGATTTCATCTGTAAATATTTTAATATAGCATATCACTTAAAAACTTGTTTTCTTTACATTTTTAAATTTTGTGACCTAGCAGGGTCAGGAGGACTTTATGTTTACTGTTATGGTTTGTGTCTGGATGTCCCCCCAGAGCCCCATATGGTTATGGGGGCAGGCTATTAGACTTTGTGAATGATTCATGGTCCAATGTTAGGATTATAAATTGTATACTCAGCAGATCGGCTTACATACAATATAATAGACAGAAAGAGTCTTCTCTAGGTATTCCTCCCCTTTTGCTCTTGTTGCTTTTGCTGTTTTCTGCTGCCATGAAAGGATGCCTTTGTGCTATGCCAACCTGCCTGGGAGCCAGCTTACTATGGACTGAAGCCTCCATAAACTAAATAAATTTTGCCTTCCTTATGTTTTGCATTGGGCATTTTTTGTCTCAGCAATGAGAGAAAAGCAAGACAGAATTTGGTATCAAAGATGTGGGGCTGTTGTTGTGACTGTTACTGACCATGTGGTTCAACACCCTTTCGGAATGGCTTTTGGGGAGAGTATGGAAAGGTTCAAAGATCTTGCCTGAAAGAGCAGAGCTGGAATGCGTCAGGCTATTCTTTATGGAAGAGTCTGGTCGAAGTTCAGAAGACCAGAAAACTAGTAAGGATCAGGCTTCAGATGTTTCTGCTTCGAAGGACTGCATTGGGTGCTGGAGTCCACACTATATTATGATTTGGCAGAAAGTTTGTCTGCATTTTGCTCATGTCCAAAGATTTTACCTGAGATTAAGATTAAGGGAGGCATACCAATTAATCTAGCAGAAGAAATTTCAAGGAAGTCAAATGTTGAGGTGATGGCATGACTATTATTAGGGGCTTTAAGCCAGATTTACGTTGTGAATCAAAAGCAAAGAGCCCAGCATGATGATTTAAAGTGTTGTGAGTTTGGCCACAAAGGAAGCATCAGTAAATTTGTGGACTGCAAAGGTAGAGCTGAGGAGATCTCTACTGCTGAGAAGAAATAGGACAATAGAAAAGATGACCTGAGGACATCATAAGAAGCAGCAAGTGCCATACCCAAGTGGGAGTGGCCTATATACAATATAAGGGATAGAAAGACCCTTCTCTAGGTGTTCTTTCATTTCTGTTGTTGCTTTTGCTGTTTCTGCTGCCATGAAGTGTTGCCTCTGGGCCATTCTACCCAGCCTTGGAGCTAGCTGATTATGGATTGAAACTTCTACAAACTGTGAGGTAAATAAATCTTTGCTTCCTTAATTTTGAGTGTCAGCTTTTTTTTTTTTTTAACCAGCAACAGGAGAACAGTGACTAACACATTGAGGCTTACAACTTTATGAAAACCCAGCAAGGTATAACAAAAAGATTTTTTTCCACCTAACTAGGGTGATATTGATCTCTGAGTGTCGTTAGTAATCTTTTGTGGACCTCTTAGTCCAGTTTTGCTTTGGTTCTCTTAGGCAGGTCTAAATCCTTGGTCACAGACCAAGAATTTCTTGGCTTTGGTGCTAATCTTGCACTGACTTGGGAAAGCTATTCGTTGATTTTTAGATTGGAGAATTGGGGTCATGCATACTTTGTCTCACATGGAAAATTCCATACTTATAAACATTTCAAAATGGCTTAATATTTAAAATGTAAGAGGATTTATTGTAATTGTTAGATGTGAAATTCCAGATTTTGAAATAATGGAGCAGTGAAAAACTTTGTGATGATTAAAAACAATTCCTCCTGTATCTGTATCTCCCCACCCCATCTCTGTCTCTCTGTCTGTATCTCTCTGTGTCTCTCTGTGTCTCTGTCTCTCTCTCCTCCCCCCTCTCTCTATATATATGTGATGTAGTATGTAAAAGTAAACACTCCCTAAGATGATAGTAACCTGCATAAACTGAAAACATGTACCAATTAAATAAAATAACAGTTGTGTTTGTACATGGATAATAGTAGTAACTTTCTATACTACGTTGCATCTTTCTTTGCAAGAAACAAAATCATGCCATTTTGAATCATTAATACTTCAAAAGGTATTTTCAGTTTTCTTTTCCTTCTACCTTCTTCATTTTGTTGGTGCTTGGAATCTTAAAGGATGTATTATTGGCAGCATACAGCCCTATCCTTTTCTCTCACTTTGAAACAGGGCCTTGCTCAATTGCCCAGTGTGTTGTCAAACCCTTGATCCTCTCAACTCAGCTCCTAAATAGCTGAAATTACATGTCTGCTGCCATACCTAACTCCAATGGATTTCTAAAATTCACAAATATAAAAGATGCACCAAGTGAAGAGAATGGTGTTTGTTCTCTTGTTTTGGATGACAAACATATCTACCACACAGCCTTAAAATAGGGTGGCGTGCATATGTTTATCAAATTGATAGTGGCTGAAATCTCAGAGAACTGTTAGGATTTCTCAGTTTAAAGGGGTCAGTCTAGTATCTGATCATTTCCTTTTACTATTTTTTAATTTTTTTAAATCCATTTTGCTTGAGAATAAAAAGAAAGAGAAGAGGAAGAAGAAGGAGGAGGAAGAGGAAAGAAAAGAGGAGGAAAACTACAACAAAATTTCAAAACATCAATCAGGGGACAACAATAGTACATATACTGCACACTCTCATCCCTAAATCATTCATAATTTATTAAAGATACATCTTCCCAGCCCTGAAAAAGGCCAAAGAGGAAGTTTAGCTTTACTGGCCTCTAAATAAACATCAAAGATGGGATCCATGTAGCCTGATGCTGTTCAATTCTAAATGTTCAGGCCTCAATGCCAAATTCCCAAGCACTCATTTAGGAAGCCAGGAATCACATCTTCCCCATACTTCATGGTAACGCCAGCTGCACTTTGTACACAGAAGGTGCTTGGTAGATATCTGGAGAATTTATGTGTTTACTTACTTACACCGAGTGATTCCTGTTCAAAGCAGTTTTCAATCACCCAGTCACATACCAGTATCTCAGGAGTTCACCACAGCCCTTGAGGTCGCGAATCACTTCTGCAGAGGACTTCATATTTTGGAGAGATGGACAACTAAACATGGAAGTTAAAAAAGTATAAAAATGTGTGCAATTAAACACCTGCACTATACAACACTATTAGAGTTTTCATGACAACCAGGAGGTCTAAAGCCAGCATTTTCAGTGATTCTGTCAGTGTCACTGTCACACAGGGTGTTTAGATGTGGCTCTGAGCAACAGGAGTGTGTGGGGCTGTGATGTGGGGTGATGCTGCCCAGGGCTGATGAAGGAGTGCGTGTGTAACTCTCATCCAGGAAGCCTGCCATAATGAACTAAAGAAGCAAAAATAGAGAAGACTCCATCTGTGCACCCTGGAACAAAACAGCACATTAGTGGAAAAACTGGCACAACACAAGGTCAGGAATTTAATTATTAGTAATATAGATTTTTTTTTCTTTAAAAGACAGAGTCTCACTATGTAGTTGGCCTTCAACTCATTTATGTAGCCCAGGGTGGCCACGAACTCACAGTGATCCTCCTGCCTCAGCCTCCCGAGTGCTGGGATTACAGGCATGTGCCACCACACCCAGCTAGTAACTGTCAATTTAGAGAAATGTACCATGGTAGTATAATATTGGCCCTGGAGGAAACTAGGCAAGGTCATATACAGAAAGTATTGTACTTTTTCTGTAAGTCTAAGCTATGCTCAAACTAAGAGTTAATTTTTGACAATTCCATCAATATCAAAACCAAAGAATGGCTACAAACATACTCCCTGAAACTATTTGCCAGACACCACAAAATCAGGACACAAGTTCCCTCTAAACTCAGGGGTGTGGTCTGCATGAGGATCCAGAAGTCACTGTTCACGCAGACGGTGAGTACAGAGGTGAGCAGGGATGGTGACAGGGAACGACCCGGAGAATCACAGAGCAGGGGCTGAAGCACGAGTACACTTCCCTTCTGTTTTCTTTGCTTTGTTGGAGAAATCTATTTCCCACATCTAAAAACGGCCACGTGAAAAGTCAGGCCCTGGAGAGGCATACCGGAATAGAGCCTTAGGTACAGAAAGCAAAAAGTAGGACCCCTCATGTTTCTGTCCACGGTCAGCCCTGTGAAGTCCCATCAAGTAAAAGGACTATGAGAGAAAGTACAATAAAAACCTTTTCCTAAAAATAAAAGCCAGTAAAGAGGCAAGTGTGTTGGTGCACACCTCTAATTCCAGCAATCTGGGTGGCTGAGGCAGGAGAAACACAAATGCAAGCCCAGCCAGGGTGACCTAGCAAGACCTTGTGTCAAAGTAAAACATGAAAAGAGCTGGGGGTGTAGGTCAGTGCGAAAGCCCTGGGTTCAATCCCCCCAAAAGCAATGAAGTGAGTTGCCAGCAGAAGCATACAGGAAGTGTGCCACCGGTAATGTTCAAGGAAGCGCTTCAGTTAGAAGGAAGAGGACGTCACACAAAAACCTGGCTCTACCCGGAGGGATGACAAGGGCCTGGCTGGTCATCATGCAGTGCTCAAGACTCCTCAAGAAGATGACAATGGTGGGCTAGTCACTAGTTTGACTGGCCAGGGGTGGTGGCGCACACCTGTAACCCAGCACTCCAGGGCTGAGGCAGGAGAATCACTGTGAATTGGAGGCCAGCCTGGGCTACACAGTGAGTTCAAGGCCGACGTGAATGGCATTATGAGACTGTTTTTAAAAAAAAGGTTGATTTATTTGAGAGGACATTGAAACATCTGGGAGAATTTGAAGATGATTAGTGCTAAGTGCAAAAAGACCTAAGAAGAGGAAATAGTTGTTGATGAGGATATAAAGAATTTAGAACCTTCATACTTTTCTAGTGAAAACTTGAAATGGTGGAAAAGTTTCATAAAACATTAAACTCAGAATTAACATTATAACCAAGCAATTCCACTACTGTATACTCAAAAGCATTGAATACAAGTACCTAAGCAGATACTTGTAATCAGCACTATTCACAATATCCAAAAGGAAGAAATAACCAAATGTCCATGAATGAGTGGAGAAACAAAATATAGTGTATTCATATGGAATATTATTCAACCAAAAAGAATGAAATGCTGATATATGCTATGACAGAGATAAGCCTCAAAACAAAATACTAAGTGAAAGAAGCCAGACATATAATATCATATTGTATGCTTGCATTCATGTGAAATATCCAGTATGGGACAGTCCAGAGACATGAAGCAGATTAGTGTCTGCTACAGGCTAGGTAGGCCCGGACAGGTGTGGAAGGGTAAGAAGTAGCTGGCTAATTGTTTTGGAGTGATGAAAATGTTTGGACTTAAATGGATAAGGCACAACATTGCGAATGTGAACACCAATGAACTGTGCACTTTAAAGTAGTTAATAAAGAAGTGTATTTCCTACAAAATAAAAGATGGACAGGAAGACATGTAACCATTTACTACAAGCTTCAACTCTTCACAGCACTGGTGTGGTTACAATAGCATTAACATGAAAGGAAAAATAACCATCTAACTGAAACCCAGACAGAGCTATGATGAGAGGCAGCTGGATAAGATGGGGTCCAGGAACATCCTTGGTCCCTTCACAGCACAGCACAGTGAAGCCCAGGAGTGGGTAAGACTTGGTTCACAGCTAAAACAGGGTGACAGCAAAACTGCGGACGCATGAAGTCACGGGCCCTAGACAGCCACCGTGTTCACCTGGGGAAGTATTTGGTATGATCTGCCAAGGGGCCATCCCCTTCCTGCCAGTTTTTCATGCATCCTCCACAGGAAAAGCACTGTACCTCATCCTCCATCCCTGCACAGAAGGAGAGCTGATTAGTATTTGGGGCCCGTGCCTTCACTGAATGACATGCTGGTCACAACCACCAGGCCTTTATTGGACAGTGGGCTGTGTAAGGCTGTTGGTCCAGGATGGTGTCATCAGCATGGTCACCCAATGCGTCCCATACTGTATGTTTTAATAAACACTCTTTCCCTGCCTGCCACCCAGGCAATGGAGAGATTTACAGCCAGCACCTAGAAGAGACGCTCCATGGGGAAGAGATTTTTGTCTATCCTTCACTCTAACAAAACTCATGAGCCCAAGAGAGTTCCTAGCATTTCTTTGGCAATCTGTATTGTGTTGGGTTTTTTTGTTTTATTTTGTTTTGTTTTGTTTTGTTTTCTGGTGTACCAGGAATCAAACTCAGGACCTTCCATTTGACAGGCAGGTGCTTATGCCACTGAGCTATATCCCCACCCTGGGATTATTTAATGAATAAATCAGAAAAAACAGATCTGGAGCTCAGGGAAATAAAAACATAATAAGCAAATGCAACACATATCAGCAACTTCATGCAGAATCACTTGCTCTTACCACACCATTGCGGCATTTATTCCCTGGACACAGGACTGAGCCCCTTGTGGGACTGTATTTCTTGGAGGGAAGCCAGTGTTTGGTTCTGCAAGACCCCAAATTGGAACCCATCATCTTCCTCCCACACTTGGACGCTGGCAGTTCTGAACAGCTGGGGCAAAGCCCCACTTTGTGTCTGGCCAAAAATTATGAGGTCCTGGAGCATTCAGGACCCTAAAGATGTCAGACACAGACTGTGTGGGGAGAGGATGAACACTCGGGAAAGGGGCCTGGAGAAAGCCTGCCACGCACAAAAAGAGTAGCCAGCGCGTGCAGCAAGGGCAGAGTGCTCATTCTCCAAAGGCTGGAGATTGTGAGCCATTAAGATTTGTAGGCCAATCAAGTATGTTTGTTAGGGTCAGGGATAGAGCTCAGTGGCACAAGATCCTGAGTTCAATTCCCAGTACAAAAAAAAAAAAAAAAAAAAAAATGTCTGTTAAAGTAGGAGCTGCACTTTCCAGTCCAGACCTGTTCTGGTGTGTCTGCTACCTCCATGATTTCTCCACCAGAGGGCTTGTGGTATCTCAGGGTGCACCTGGTCTGACAAGGACCAGCAGGGTACTTAGGAAGGCATGCCATGCCCTCCCTGCTCCCTTCAGGCAGAGACCTTGCAGAGGGGACAGACTTTGGGGATGAACAGTGGAGCAGCCACTCTTAGTACAGAGAACTGATGGAAGGTGCTGCGTGCTTTGGAATCATGAGCATGAATTCTGTACTGAGTGGCTGAGCTGGAGGTCGGGGAACTCCTTGGGACTAGAGCGAAGCCAGTCCCAGGAACCTGGAATGCCAGAGGCAGACCGTGGAAACAAGGTGTCTTCTAGCTCAGTGACATATCAGTAGGTATCCGCCTTGGTTTCCTCCCTGTTAACTACAGCACAGCTCTGAGAATGTGTCACTTTCAGTGTTCTCAGCAAAACACTGAGACTTTGCACTTTTGGCCCCCTCGTGGGGGCAGAGAAGCCAGGTCCCAGCTCTTTTCTAGGTGTCTTGTGTTTTCTTAACCTCCTGTCTTTTTTTCTTTCTTCTCTCTCTTTCTCTCTCTCTCTCTCTCTCTCTCTCTCTCTCTCTCTCTCTCTCTCTTCTTTCTTTTTCTTTCCTTAAGACCAGGTCTTGCTACATAGTGCAGGCTGATCTTGACCTCACTATGTAGTCCAGACTGGCCTCAGACTTCAAAGTTTTGGCAGTCCTCCTGCCTCAGCTTCCTAACACGTGCTACCGTGTCCAGCCGAGCTGTAGTGTCTTACACATTTCACTTACTTTCTAACTTCCTTTTCAGTCACTGTTCATTAGGCCTATGCAAAGTATCTTCCTAATTAAGGTGAATCATGGAAACTTCTACCTGGCAAAACATACCTTGGTATTTGGCATAATAAACAATGTTCAAAAACTGTTTAGGGTCACAAACTTCAACCTTCTCATGGTATAACTAGGCCTCTTCTATCTGGATAATTGTGGGGTGGTCCGATTTTGGAGAGGGAGTAATTCAACCTGAAGTGGATACTCAGTAAGGTTCTTTGTCTTTGTCTCTATAAAAACTAAAAAACGTAGAGGGGTGTGTTTCTACACACCTGTAATCACAGCTACTGAGGAGGCTGAAGCTAGAGGACTCCAAGTTTGATCCTGGCCTCAGCAACTTAGTAAGGCCCTATCTCAAAATTAAAATATACAATGAAAGGCTCAGTGGTAGAGCATCCCCGGGGTTCAGTCCCCAGCACTGCCAGATAAAACCAACAAAGCAAAATGACACAAACAAAGGAAAAAAGCACAATACAACAGCAGACCTGACCAGTGTTAGCAGAAAAACACGCAAGCACTTACTTGGGAAACCACCTGGCATGTTCCTGCCAGGGGTCGTCTCCTTCTTCCCAGTTTCCTAAGCATCCGCCACAGGAGAAGCACTGCACGGTGTCCCTGTGACCTGTGGACACAGGACAGCGGCTCAGGGGCCAGCAGTGGCCCTGAGGGGCTCCCGGAGGTGACACTCTCCTCAGGCCCAGCTGCCCCACGTGCTGTTCCTCCAGGAGCGCTCGGCCACCTGGTCAGCCCTGCTGCGCCCCGCGAGCCCCGGCCAGTGCACATCCAGTCCACTGAGCTCCACAGTTAACCCTCACTGTTGGTTTCTCCACGCTGATTCTATAAAATGCAGACCCTTTTTTTGATTCTTGGTGAAAACAAAAACTCAAAGGTCTCTGAGTCTTGGTGAAAACAACTGTCACTTGGGAAAAAAAGGGGCAAATGGGTTGACAAAGAATTGGAGTTAATCCGCGCCTCGCATGAAGCAGCCGCTCAGTAAGCCATAGTTGCTCTTAGGAAGCCTCGGTCTCCTGTCACCATCCATGGTGAGGCCAAGACATAAACACACAGGCGCCGGGACGGAGCTCAGCGGCACATGCACCTGCCTGGCAAGTGTGACATTGTGTTCGATCCCCTGTACCGAGAGAGAGAGAGAGAGAGAGAGAGAGAGAGAGAGAGAGAGAGAGAGAGACAGAGAGAAAGAAATTGATTTAAAAAAACTTCAAAAACTGTAAGAATTTTAAAAATCAAAGAAAGCTTGTGTGAGAACAGTGAAGAGCTCCTCATTCGTGAGGAGACTGGGATTGAACAGCATCAGGGCCTAAAGAACACAGTCTGTGTCACCTAAGGCCCTTATATATGGAAAAATCGTCTTCTGGTTTTATATAGCTTTGACGAATTAACACAAGGTGCACAAAACATCAAGAAAAATTACTGAAGTGGAATGGGGGGGGGAGGTTGCTTGTTTTAATTTATTTATTGAGTCAGGGTCACGCTATGTAGTTCAGGCTGGCTTTTAACTCACTGTGTAGCCCAGACTGGCTTAAAACTCTGGGCAATCCTCCTGTTTCAGCCTTGCAAGTGCCGGATTACAGGCCTGTACCACCACACTCTGCTTGAAGCAGAATTTTAACAAGATGGATTTTTGTCTAATACAACACATTAAACAAGCAATGAAGGATTCACAAAGCAGCTCAACAGCAACCAAAGCATGGAACCTTAAGTTAAAACTTGGGGAGAAGCCCTGTAGGAGATGAATTCAGTTTACTTATAAAGACGAAGCCGGAAGCTGCGAGGCCCCGCGGGGACACTGCGTGGACGCAGAAGGGCCAGTCCTCAAGGACGCGAGCCTGGCCTCCTGCTCGCGGTACCTGCTCGGCCACCGCTCGGCTCCTCGCCTGGGGTCTTCACCCGCGCACGTCTTACTTGCCCATGTTGCCCACGTCCCGGCCCAGCAGGCACAGGCAGCCCAGGCGGAACTCCCTGCGATGCTCCACGGGGACCTTCCCGCAGCCGCAGCCGGAGAGGATCAAGCTGCAGCAGAAGCACTGAACCCGGACTTGGACTTCACCCGGTGCAGTAAAAGCCCGCTGCTGCCATGTCCCGCGGCGTCCAGGAGCTGTACAGTGGCAGGTGGCGAAGGTCCTCGGCCGGCGGCCTCGCTGCGCGTCCGGGGTTGCAGCCCTTGCTCCTCCGCCCGCTCTCTGTGTTCCTCCTCCTGCAGCTTCAGGAAGGCCACGGCGTCCACGCCCAGGAGCGCCCACATTTCCGGGGCCAGGCCTAGTCAAACTGGAGATCCTCTCCTCAGCCTTGTCCAGGGTGCTCATTTTCTGAAACAGGAGGAGTTAGCGTCCCTGTCAAGGAGGCACAAGCGCAGGGAAAGCTTGTGCTCCACAGCAACGGTTTGATGAAATTACTCATTTTTAAAACGACATTGTTCTCAGTGTCCACTTTCCAAGCAGTAGTGCTCTGTGCCCAAGCTCAACAGGCCCCATAATTATGGCTATAAGATGCTATGCATTTCATTTTATAAACTACTTACCTAATCAAAAATTATAAAACATCATTATATTGATAAATACATAGCTTTTTGTACTTTTGAATGGCTTCATGGTAGGACACTTAGGTTGTTGCCATTTTTCTCTTCATCAACAAAGTTCAATAGGCTTAGAACAGAGTCTTTGTTCTTAGTCTTTATTTCCCAAAGAATAATGACTGAGGCAGTCACATCCTTTTTGGACTCCTGGAGTTTTTTGGTTGAACTGGGGGTTGAACACAGGGCTTTTCATTGAGCTACATCCCAGGCTTTTAAATCTTTTTACTTTTGAGATAGGGTCTTGCTAAGTGGCCAGCCTTGAACCTGTGATCCTCCTGCCTCAGCCTCCCAGAGTGCTGGGATCACAGATGTTCACTATCACCCCCAGCTTCTACCATATTTTTTAATAAACAGTTCATCATACTAGAACATCTGCATCTACTATATCCTTAATTAGGGCTGAATCTCTTGGCTGTTTCCTAAATATCTTGTACTGTTACCTACTGAATACATAGTTGGGTAGGCTTAGATAATTCTAAAGGTTCTCAGCTGAGTGTGCTAGCACATGCCTGTAATTCCCACACTCAGAAGGCTGAGGCAGGAGAGTTGCTTCGAGTTCCAGGCCATGAGTTCAAGGCCAGCCTTAACTATATAGTGAGAACCTGTCTCAAAAAAGGCCAAAAAAAAAAAAAAAAAAAAAAGGATTCCCATCTTACATCACTCATTAAAATCAGATGAAGACCAGATTTTCTGCATGAAATCTTTTCTTAAAGGGTTGGGCAAGGGATGTGTTAATTCAGATTATCGTATTCATTCTAACAATGTGTCAATGAAAGATGACACAACACTTACATAAAGTTTGCTCTTAGAATGTCCCACTTTGAGTCACTCCCTACTTTTTAAATCACAACTTTATTGAGATATAATCAACATACCATAAATCACCCATTTAAAATTTATTACTTAATAGAGCTGAACATAGTCGTAGACTTGTGCAGTCATCACCACAATCAATTTTAAACTTATCACTCCCCAAAGAAATGCTGTATTCATTAGCAGTAGCTTCCTATGTTTCCTACACCCACCCAGCCCTATTCCAGGACTAATCTACTCTCTATATATTTATTTTGAGCCAGATGCGAAGGCACACACTTGCAATCCCAGCAGTGAAGGGGCTGAGGCAGAAGGATCACTGCAAGTTCAAGGCCAGTGTGGTCTACATAACGAATGAGTTCAAAACAAGCCTGACCGACATGAGAGACCCTACCTCAAAAAAAAAAAAAAAAAAAAGGAAAGAAAAATTCAATAATAACAAGAAATATACTTATTGCCAACATTTCATATTAATCACACAACATGTGGTCTTTGAGGGCTGGGGATGTAGCTCAATGGCACAGCGCCTGCCTGGCAAGCACAAGGTGCTGAGTTTGATTCCTGGTACGAGAAAAAAAAAAAAAGGCTTTGTAATCTGAGCAAGTGCTTTGAAGACAACAACGTACAATATGTTTACCATTTTTAATCTCCTATTATTGTGTCTTGAAATTATCATTTTTCTCTTAAACAGTAATGTTTAAGCTGTTTTTCCTAAACAATTGATGTCTAGGCACATTCGTTTAACGTTAAGGGTCAGCCTGGGGTCGCACCTATTAGGTACTAGGGTAGCGTTCCTTTTCATGGTCAAACCCTGCTCCGTTCTGTGGCTGTGTTACATTTCATCTCCCTACCTGTCCACACCGGGTTTGTTTACACTCAGGGTTGTGAACAGCGCTAAAGTGCATTCCGAGCACGTGTTTCCTGTGGAAATGTCTCGCTCCTGCAGACCCTTGACAGGGCCTTGCAAACATTTAAGGATCAAGTGTTGGAAACCTGGACTGCATTTCTGTGCGGGTTATGAACTGCAGCAGGATCACTATCTGATTTAAAGACACCAATGTGCAATGTATTAACCATTGTTACCCTCTTCTCTTGTTTTGAAATTTTATTTTTTTACCTTTAATATTAAAAAGAATACTAAGTGTCAGAATATTTGTATATTTGTGTCACACGACCCTTTGTGAAAATGTACGTGGCTCCTCTGCCGGGCGTCCACCTGGGAACACTACATTGTGTGTGCTTGCCTTTCTGCCAGTGAACAGAGCCTGCAATAGTTAACCTGCCCTTCTCTGTGCTAGCAACATTAAAGATGGCTGCCCCTTTAAAGAATAAAAAAAAGAGCAGGAATGGGAAGAGCCAGTGGAGATGTGGAAGAAGCATTTCTACTCACCAATTGGACGGTCCCCAGGTCCTGGTTCCCGGAGGGAGAGCGCTGGCTGAAGAAGGAATGAGAGGGTGCATCTCAAGGGAAGATGCCCTGTGCTTCTCCGGTAACGGGAGCAGAGTTTTAGGGGAGGAACTGAAAGTGAAAACAAATGGCACATTGGAGAGCTTACTGGTACGGTCTTGAGGAAGCAGGGTCAGTCTGGACTCTACAGGAAGCACGAAACCGACCAAGTCTTGCACCAAAAGTAGAGTCCACCAAACAAATGTATACCCACTCCAGGACAAGAAAATGGCACACTGTTTCCTCCACAGATGGGGTCACCCTCATGTGAGAGACGCTAGAGGATGCCACGCATCACAGAAAACCCACTGCACCGCCGGCCCTGAGAGGAGAAATCAAAAATGTGTGTGCAGCAATCTCAGTGGCTAAGGTGACCCACACACGGGTTTGCTGTAGTAATAAATGTCAGGAAGGTGGTCGACTCCACTGAGAGCGCCTTTTGTAACTGTAGAGGCCAAAGGTAAAAAGGTAACGTACTAATCTCATGATGTCTGAATACATTTAGTATTAAAATATTTATATAAGTTTTGGGCTTGGGATACAGCTCAGTGGCACAATTCCTGCCTGGCAAGAGTAAGGTCATGAGTTTGATTCCTGGTATAAAAAATTATATGAGTTTTTCTTTTCCTAAAGTGTACACACATTTTTTTTTTTTGTCTTTTTCATTTCTATCAGTACCAGGGATCAAACTCACGACTGCACACTTACAAGGCAGGTGCTTATGCCGCGGAGCTAAATCCCCAGCCTCATGTACACACATTTTTTTTTTGGTGAACTCTATTTGTTCTGAAGTTGGTAAAGACTGGTTGTTATGTTGTTAGTGTCTTTTTCTTTGATGGTGACAAGTTTCTACTCTGGTATCTTTTAGGATTTTCTTTTTAACTGTGAGGTTATAAAATTCCCAAATATTGTGTCTAGGTATAGGGTTTTTGTTTTGTTTTATTTGAATCAGGGTCTTATTATGTAGTTTAGGCTACCCTTGAAGTCATCATGTGGGGGGGGGGGTAAAATTTATAGAGATCCTCCTGCCTCAGTCTCTCAAGTTATCTTCTATCATTTCTTTGCCAATTTCTGTCTTTTTGGGGGATTATTCTCACTTGTTAGGTGGGAATTTAGTCAGTCACTTATGTTCTTTTTTTCCTCACACATATTCTTAGTGGTTTTGCCCTAATTACTGGATTTCCTCTTTTATTTTCCAATATTTTAATATTTTAAAATTTCACCAATTTCCCACAGTTCTCATCTTCTGTTCCATTTTTTCACATCTAAATTTCTTATCCAATGCAAACTTCTTGAATGTTTCATATGGATACTAGCTGCTTTGTTTGCTGAATTATCTATTTCTTCCATGATTGGTATAATTTACCTTGATGTTTATTTTTCCCATTACCAGACTTCTTCAAGTGTGTAGAAATCCTTGATTTTCCATTCATGTTTAAGAAGTGGAAAATTTAAAAGCAGACTGGGGCTGAGCATTATGGCACAAGCCTGTAATCCCAGCACTCAGGGGCAGGAGGATGACTGTGTGTTTGAAGGCAGTCTGGGCTACAAAGTGCCTGAACTGAACAGTGAAACCCTGTCTGAAAAACTAAAATAAAATAGCAAATTGGTTATAATAATTGTTTAAGAGTCTAACGAGGGAGGGGCTGGGGATTTAGCTCAGTGGCATAAGCGCCTGCCTAGCAAGCGCAAGGTCTTGAGTTCAATCCCCAGTACCACCAAAAAAAAAAAAAAAAAAAAAAAAAAAAAGAAAGAAAGAAAGAAAGAAAGAAAAAAGAGTCAAATGAGGGGGAGTAGCTTACTGGTAGAGTACTTGCCTCCTGGGTTTGATCCCAGCATCAGGGAAAACACCAAATTAGGAACTACATAAATGTGATGTGAATGTTGGCCTTTCAGTTTAGAAAGAATAAATCAGGAAGCCAAGATTTAGCCTCAAGAAGACTAGGTGTCAGAGAAGCACCTCAGAAAATGATCTCAGGTTATCTGGAAAGATAAAGATAGCAACTGAAAGCTCACTTGGGACAGTCCTTTGGCATGGAAAGGCTGTGCCCTTAACTTGTCAGAGCTGTGACCCTCTAGGCAATGCAGTATTGAATTAAACTGCAGAACATCTAGCAGGCGCCCTGTACTGCAGCATGAATACCTAGAGGCCTGGGCGAGGCTGGACACCCTGCATGAGCCCTGCAGTGGCCTAACTTGGGTTGCCAGGTATGGAGGCAGCAATGGCAAGAAGAGCAGAAAACAAGAGGTGAGGGAGGAAGCCCATGCACGGAGGAAGAGCCCCAAGCTCTGTCCCTGCTCGGGCCATTAGGCGTGCCTGCGCACCTCAGTGCCTCCCTGCCTCTGCTTTGTGGAGGAAGACCGCCGAGCCCTGCCCTGGCTCAGGCCACTGAGCCACTGAGTACGCCTGCGACCCAGCATACTCCTCCAGTGTGCTGACCCAGAGGGCGCCCGCACCCACCCTGGCTCAACCAGCTGCCCTCAGCTACCCTCCCCATCTCTGAGACCAAGCACTGCTGTGAACATTTGGTTCCCACTCTCCCTCCCAGACCCTTGAACTGCAGTGGACTGGCAGTGCTGGTTTGACAGAAGACTTGGTGACCCCTTGTTCAGACAGAGGACCCTGGTAGGTTCCGGTCACGATGTACCCAACAATCGGGCACATATCAACCACACGGTAAGACCCTGGGACATACACAGCCAACAGTTGTGACCATTGGGATTAAATAACCAGATATTGGCCCAGAAGGTGAAAATGACAAAATGAAAAACCAAAATGCAATCTCAAACATCTAGTCCATCAGGTGCAAGAACAGGTGACAGCGAAATGGAGGACTTTAAAAGTCATACACCAGAAATCTCTGGAAAGATAGCAAACAAAGTAAAGAAACAAATCCCTGAGGCTATAGGGGAAATCAAATTAAAAGTAATGTCTTATGTAAGGACAGAAATAACAGCCTTAGTAAAGGATTTGCTCAACATAGCTAGGGAATAAATAGGAAAAAAAATACAGGAGCATGGGAAACTGATTGAAACTTTGAATGAACAATGTAGAAAACAAGCAGAATTCATGAAACAAATTCAAAGAGATAGCCAAGAAACAAAAAATTCTATTTTTTCTATTTACTCTATCACATTGTCTCTCTAGTGTAAACAATAATAAAAACTGACAGAATAAGGGGATCCAAAAAGTATAATAGATACTGTGAAAGTGAAAGGGAAGGGAAGTGCTCTAAAGCATACAATGGAATGTACATTGGGTAAGATAGATGACCATATTATTGAATTTCTGCTGGAACATTGAACAGAACGATTTGCACTGTCAATGTTGAGTGTCTAGCCACTGTTTATGCTTTGATTTTGTGACTTTGGCGACTGTTTTTTAAGATGACAATGAGTAATGTATATAGTAGTGATTCTAGATGATAATTGTTTTAATTTAGCATTGTCCTACCCTTCTTTTCTGTTTTTCTATTTTATTTTCTTTCTGTGAGAAAAAAAGAGAACAATATGCAACATAACAACCAGTTAAATTTCTTTCATTCTGTTTTGAAACCTATATTGTTATTGTTTTGAGTTTGCTGTTGTTTATGCCTTTTGCATTTTGTTTTTCTTTTTTGACTTTTCTATTTTTTAAATAAAAAAAAAAAGAAAAATAAGAGGTGAATTGAAAATCCATGCATGGGTGGCTGGCGATTTAGCTCAGTGGCATAAGCGCCTGCCTTGTAAGCAGGCAGTCGTGAGTTCGATCCCTGGTGCCAATAAAAAAGAAAGAAAGAAAGAAAGAAAGAAAATCCATGCATGAGACAGTTGCCTGGGTCTGTCTTGTCATCGGAATATGTGACATACAGGTGTTACCGTGAGATCAAAACATTCTTAAGAAAATATCCCCCACTCCCACTCTCAAACTAAATATTCTGCTTTAGCAGACCTGGAGAACTAGTGTGTGCATTGGTACCCTGAATCAAAGAATATTGGTTTAACACCGCTGACAGTCTAAACAAGTGTGTTATCTTCATCTTCCAGGTGAAGTAACTCAGGTACATGGCTCAAGATTTACCAGGCAGCCTAACCAGAGTCTGCATATTTGGTTGTTACAGTGTGCTGCAAAGGGGATTTTTTTCTTTTTAAGACAGAGTCCACTACGTAGTCCAGGGTGGTCTCTAACTTGTGGCAATCCTCCTGTCTCAGCCTTCCAACAGCTAGGATTACAGGTGTACACCATCAAACCAGGAAAGAGGACAATGTTTTTAAGGGTTTTTTTTTCCCCAAATCCGTTTTATTTCAAGGAGAAAAAGAAGAAAAAACTAAAACAAAAATTCAAAACATGTCAATCAGAGGGTAGTAATGGTACATACATTGCACATTGTTATTCCCAAATTATTTACCCAGAGCACATTTGTGTTTAGTTGTCCAAACATTACCAGCACAAATCTTTCTCTTTAGTGTACTCAGAGAAATTTGTAGTGTAACTATACGAACTGTTTTTGTATAACATATACATATGCACATGTTTTTTCTTTCAGCTTCTCACACTAATGAGACAATACTATGTGTATCTTATTATTTCACTAATGAGTATGGTCTCAAGTTGCAGCCATATACCTATAAAGTCTCCAGTTTATCCTTTTTATGGCTGAGTAGTACTCCATTGTATAAAATATCACATGTTTTTTATCCATTTCTCAGCTGGTGGGCATTTGGGTTGTTCCAAGATCTAGCTATTACAAATTGTGCTGCTATAAACATGGGTGCACATATATCACTGTGGTATGATGTTTTTAATTCATTTGGGAAGATGCCCAGAAGATAAATAGCTGGGTCATACAAAACCTTATCTAAACCTAGTTTTCTGAGGAATCTCCACACTGATTTCCACAGTGGCTGCACCAGTCTACACTTCCACCGACAGTGGAGAAGGGTTCCTTTTTCCCCACAGCCCCTCCAGCATTTGTTATTGCTTGATTTCTTAATATTAGCCATTCTTTCTGGCATGAGATGGAATTTGTGTTGCTTTAATTTTCAACTCTTGAATGGTCAGTGCTGTTGAACATTTCTTCACATACTTATTCGCTGTTTGTATTTCTTCATCTGAGAAATGGATATTCATCTCAGATGCCTATTTTTGGATTGGGCCTTTAAATCTGAGAGGACTAATTTCTTTGTATTCTTTATATGTTCTCAATAGTATTCCTATGTCTGAGGTACAGCTGGCAAACATTTTCTCCCCCATAGTGGGTTATCTCTTCACTCTTTGTGGTTTCTCTTGCTGTGCAAGA